CCATTGAGCTAGATCCCCAGCCCCCAATTCTCATTTCACAGAGATATGATTAGAGGTATTTATGAGCTGGGTTAAATGATGGTGTAGCTATTTTAAAAAGTAAGTAGTAGCTGGGTGCCATCGGATCATGCCTGTAATCTTAGCTACTCAGGAGGCTGAGATCTAAGGATCATGGTTCAAAGCCATTCCAGGCAAGGAAAGTCCATGAGACTCTTAATCTCCAAGTAACCACCGGAAAACCAGAACTGACACTGTGGCTCAAGTGGTAGAGCACTTTGCCTTGAGCTGAAGAGCTCAGGGACAGCGTCCAGGCTCAGAGTTCAAGCCCCATGACCACCACTAACAACAAAAAAGTAAGTAGTAAGAGTGCAGATTAGAAGCATCTACTGTTTTCACTCAGACAAGGGAAAGAATCTGATATCACGGAAGAGAGTAGACTCTGAAGAGAGGAAAGAATAGAAAAGTACCAGAAACCATGCAGGAGGTCACAGGGAAGCACAGAGGTAGGTACAGAGGGAAAAAGAAAAAGCAGCAGCCAAGACCTCTGAGCTGCCCCATAGTTACCCTGTTAGGGAAGAGACCATTGAAGACTGCAGTACAAGACAAAATGAGAAGGTCCTGCATTGCCAACAGACCACCAACTCTAGCTGTGAGAAAAGCCCACACATCCAGCAAACATTAACACCAGCACAAGGCTATGTGGGGCAGAGACCATCCTTGTAGGGAAGGCTTAGTGAGGAAAGGCATTGTGCAGCTTCTCCGCAGCGAACTGGGAGGGAGTCACTATGAGAGACTGGCATCAGAGCATGGCCCAAGGGCTCACTGGACACTTCACCATAACTTTTGAGTAAAATTTAGAAGCAGTGGTTGAGAAGAAAGAAGTGTGTCTGAAAGGACCCTGTAAACAAGTGTAAAACACCGGGAAATTACACTGTCAGCTTCCACACTGGAAGCAGCAGTCGTACAGGTGATAGGGGTTTGATGCGAAGGTTCCAAGTAGCACACAGCAGAGGCACTGATCTGACACCTCTGTGTTCACCCTGGGGAACGTGTGTCTCATGATGCCAGCAGAAGCCACCCTTAAAGGCATCTGAGACCCCAAAGACGGCCCTCCCAGAGGTTTGTCCGTGAAAGCCTTGCAGCTTCCTGTTGGATCACACCGTAGAGATGCTGTTTTCACCCTAGGAGAAGAGCAGCCGCTTATCACAACACGGGCATAGACTGCCAGCACACTGCCATGAGAGACAGCTGCGACTCAGAAGACAGAGGCATGGCAGTTGTCCACAGCTCCATCCTACCCTGCCAGGAGATAATCCCAATACCACAGCCAACATAACCATGATCCTTTGAGCGAACGTCTACCAAGTGCTCCTTCTCCAGGGCCTGCTCTCTGGCTGTATGTGGAAGACAGAGCTCCCAAATCGAAAGAATATGATTTCCTTTTGTGAAGAGAGGTTGTTGAAACACTGCACTATTGAGTCCCACTCTCCTGTGTGCAAAACCTACCTCCGAAAAACATGATTTGTAAGTCACCAGCTGATATTTCATGACGAGTTGGCTTTGATGCCAACTGTTCCACGAAATAATTTTCTTGGCTTTCAGAATATAGGTGCAGTGCAGATGTAAGCTGTCTCTTCAGTCCTTTTGTATACTGAGTCTTCAGCCATCTTTCTTGATTTTATGGCCAGGGAAAATGTACTTCAGCAGGTGGAAAGGACCCAGGAAGAAGTTCTGAATGATGGCTCCAACTTCACTGCTTAAAATATGTCTTGCCCTTTTCTTTTTTAAGTCTATCCTCTTCACTTTTTTCTTCTTGTTTTTTCCCTCTGGCCTCCATGTATTATCTCATCCTATGAAGAATTAGAGAGGATGGCTCCTGAACATATTGTGAAATGTGCATGCTGATTTCCCTTTCCAACAAAGAAACAAAAAAATAATCTCCAGCCCTTTCCCCTAAAATCCATGGTGTGTTCTCCAGGTTCATTTCTGTCTTTTGTTATGGAGTGAGGATTGGATGAAACAGAGAAAGAGTCTGGAACACCATGGGAGGAGGACAGGGGCAGAAAAGAACTACCAGACTTTGCCAGACTTGCATGTAGGGGCTATTTTCCCAACTTTCCAGCAAAACCAGTTTTAATTACTGTAACAGGGCTGCTGTTGTTTTCTACTGACCTTTGGCTTAGTAAGATTGGCAAGGGACGGACGTGACAATGTCTGACTTAGAATAGTTGCTGGAGGATCCCTGCAGCATTCAAACCTTAATCTTCTGCTTAGGGGCAGGTGAGTGGCCACAGCCAACATCATCTTTAGAACAGGAGTCACTGCACCTAGAGAGGTGGAGTGGGGTAGTAGAAAGAGTCAGTTATATGCCCTTGGGAAAGATTTTCTGTTGGAGTTGCAGCTTCCATAGCTAGAAGATGGGAATCATAATAAGCTTGTGTTCATGGACCTGTTGCCAGGACTAGAAAAGATGTGATGGGCAGCTTGGCGCATGCCAACTGAGTAGTTGCTTCTTCTCTCTCCTAACTTCTGCAGGTAGAATTTGCCTGCTGACTATAATGAAACTCTAGACCATTCTAGTTCCTAAGGAAACAAGGAGGCAGACACCAGAGCTCTTCCCATCCACGTTTTTTTTCAAAGCTACATTGGCAGCTCCCAAGATGCTGACTTCATAGACGAGTGACCAGCATCTGTGTGAAGGCAGTGGCAGGTTCAGGGCATCTGTGAGCTGCAGGGAAAGGAAATCATCAGACTTGGTGTCACTGAAGAATGGCAAAGCTGGGTACACCCTAGTTACTGGTTTAAACAATGAATTTCAGCAGATTCCTGCTCCCCACCTCCCTTTAGGATGTGGCCCAGAAGTAGGAGCAATTCAGAAATGTAAGGCTGTCTAGATGATGGACAACTTATCAGTAGAGCTCCCATCACCTCTTCTGACCCCTGAGTGTCTGAAACATCTCCCGCACTCTCTGGAGAGGCTCTTCTGTTGACTCATTTATCCAGGCAAATGAATCAGTAGTTTTATAGTGGGAGTTGCTATTGTTTGGGATAGGAAAGTTGAATTTGGGACCTTGGCATGGGTGACAAACCAAAGAGTGGCTAGCAGTATGGCTTCTGTAAGTAATACCTATGTTCGGAATTTCTGTTAAATGGAATTATAGTCTCGTTTTCTGAGCCAAAAGTTTTTCAAACTGCAGAGGAACCAGCATAGTTTTTGCCTTCTGTCCTGTTAGTGGAGATTTTAACAAATTTTGTGCATTTGTGTGGACTTTATCTACTATGCACTTTCACCTCAAGAACTAAATGCACCCTACTTGTGCACCCTGCTTCTCATGTAGGGTTCTCTGCCTGTACCCTGAGGGCTCCTAAGTTAGGCCGAGCCCTTCCTCTCCCCTGTATCCTGAGTGCTGTCCCACTGAACTGGGTGTGCTTTCCACAGCCCCCAGCCAGGTCTCTCAGCACCTGTGCTCAAACCACCCGTCCCTTCCTCCATCTGTTCTGATTCTGTAAATCAGATGGAGCAGAGGGAACACTTCAGAATCTGTTTTTCACAAGAAAGACACCAAAGTACTTCCAATACAGTCAGCCTAAGTTACATACTTTTATAAACATTACTGATGCCCTACTATAACTGTTTGGCCTGGCTGGGACTTTCTCTCTTAACTTTCCACAATTCCTAGAGAAGGAAGTTGGTACAGAATGAGTCCTGCCCTTTTCTCCTGCTGAAAAGCAGCTGCTGCAGATACCATGTAATACAAGAGGAGATTGACATGTTCCAAGGACAGTGCTAGACAAATACCATGTGTTTGTCCTCTCCTGCCTGGCTCAAATACCTGTAGCATGTTCTGTTACTTGCTACACTGGTAACTCCAGGAACACAGAGGCTGCTTCTCAACCAACTGGTTGGCCTCAAAACTATTTGATGCAGGTTTGGTACCTTGTATTGAAGCTTGGGATGAAAAGCATTTCAAATTTCAGATGACTTTTGAATGTTAGCATGTTTACACATTCATAAGACTCCTTGGGGATAATGCCGAAGTCAACATGAAATTAATTCCATGTGTAAAAACCTTATACACATGGCCTAAAGGTATTAATACACCTTTCACAGTGACTGTCACTTGAGATCAGGTGTGAAATTTTCCACTTGTGGCATCATGCTGGCACTCAAAAAGTTTCAGATTTGGAGGCATTTGGGATTTCAGCTTTTTGAAGAAGGGGTGCCCAACTCATACTGGATCTCAGACAGAGGTGTTTTAACATATGTGTTTTCCATTTTAAGTCATTTTTTAAAGTTATATGTGTACACAGTTAAAAACATAAATAATACTGAAGGATACACAATAAAAAAGTGAGACTTCCAGCCAGGAGCTGGTGGCTCATACCTGCAATCCTAGCTACTCAGGAGACTGAGATCTAAGGATCACAGTTTGAGGCCATCTTGAGCAAGAAGTCCATGATACTTTTGTCTCCGATTCAGCATGAAAACAGCCAGAAGTAGAGCTATGGCTCAAATGGTAAAGTGCTTACCTTTAGCAGGAAAAAAAAAAAAAAAAAAGCTCAGGGACAACTCCCAAGCTCTGAGGTCAAGCCCCAGCACCAAAAAAAGGAGAGAGAAAGAGGAGAGAGATTTCACCTGTGATGGAACCTTGCCTCCTGCTAAACAGGTAAGTCCAGATCAGAAGTCAGTGTATATATTCAGATTCCTGTGAGGAACATCCTCCATTTTCCTATTCACTGCCTCTTAGCAGTAGAAGGATACTGGGAAGTTATAGAAATAACACAAGTTGGAGTTGTATGTGGCTTGACAGGTGAATACTGGCTTTCTCAGTAGCTTTACAGAAGCCCATTTCATTGCTAAGAATATTATTCTTATATTCATTAAGTCTTACCCACCCCCATTTTGAAAAGAAAATAAGTGATTCTCTAAGTGAATGTGTACCATAATTGTTAAATAGGGCCTAACTTCCAAAGGAAAAATTAAGTTCTTTCTTTTTCAGGGAAGTGTGACCATCAGTGATCATGAAGAACCCCTTTGTGCACCTTGTTGAGTCCCTAGATCCTGCACAACCAGAAAAGAAATTCTTCAATTTGAATAAATTGCAGGATTCAAGATATGGTAGGTACATACTCTCATGTAATTGTTCTGTTTTAGTAGTTGGAATATTACTAGCTTAATGATTAAGCTTTGTAACATATTACCCTCTAGGAGAGTTGGTAGAGGGAGATAGCAAATGAATGGGAAAATGTTCTTGGATTAAGCATACTGGTATGTGTATGCAGACACACACACACACACACACACACACACACACACACTTATATTGATGACTTTTTTTAGTATTTTTTATATTATATACATATAACACAGTATTTATATGAACTTACCAATCCATGCTCTGTAAATTCCATATAAGATCTTGTTTATAAAACTTAAGGATTAGGAAGCAGAGTCTCAGGGAGCGCTACTGACATAGCTCAGGTAACAAATTATTTGAGGTGCAGAAGGAAACAAGAACCAAAGTCGTTTTTATCCCAGACTCTTTGTTTATGCTACTTTTGTTGCCTTTTCCAAATCATATTGGTAATTTTCCTATACCAAGACCAAACTTCTGTTTTGCACATAAAATTAATTTTCTTTAATTACTATAATGCTATGTTAGAAATTTCAGCTGCAGGTGACCATGTTGTGATATTTAGGATCTTCCTTTGAAAGATGTCTGCAGATATACTGGAAGTTCAATTACAATAATTGTAAATGGGTTATTTTCTCAGTTTTTGAGCTTTAGTTTTAATAAGGAATAGGTTCTGTACATATATAAATGTATTATTACTTGATAACTAACTGATAGTGAGATGTGGTGAGTTAAGGAAAACTTCATGTTATTGCAACCCAAGGCAAGGCAACCATTTAAAATGAAAAATAAACTAGAATATTTTGGTTTGCTTATTCACCTCTGAATATTTTCTGCTACCAAATATCTCCAGTGGCCTTACTATCCTTAAACTGTCAGTTACTTTGTCCTTTCCCCTGTTAGTAGAATAATCTGATGCTTCATATCAAGTTTATGTACAGATTGAGCTCAAAGAGAGCTTCTTATCTTAAGGTGCCTTACGATTTCATTTCAGGTTATTTTCTAATGCTTTCCCCTTTATTCCTAGGACGCTTACCATTTTCTATCAGAGTTCTTCTGGAAGCAGCTGTTCGGAACTGCGATGAGTTTTTAGTGAAGAAAAATGACGTTGAAAATATTCTCAATTGGAATGTCATGCAGCACAAAAACATAGAAGTGCCATTTAAGCCTGCCCGTGTGATCCTGCAGGACTTTACGTGAGCCTAATGTCACTTTTCTTCCTCTTCCCCTCTTGTCTGCCTTTCGATGACTATAAATTGTCACCCAGTATTTAGACACTTTTGAAAGAAAAAGGTGGCTCTTCCTACATCCACAAGAGTAAACTGGGATTGTTTCCTCCCATTTCTAGAAATGCTCACTTCCCACCATGGCCTCTTTTCTGTGACATACATAACCCTCCCATTAAAAAAAAAAAAAAAGATGTTACCTCAGCTGGGAATGTGGCTTAGTGGTAGAGTGCCTCTCTATCATACATGAAGCCCTGGGTTTGATTCCTCAGTACCACATAAACTAAAAAAGCTAGAAGTAGCACTGTGGCTTAAGTGGTAGCCTTAACCAAAAAGAAGCTCAGGGACTCAGGACTCAGGCCCTGAGTTCAAACCCCAGGACAGGTTAAAAAATAATAATAATAATGTTACCTTATTCCTTCCAGAAACCAAATTTTTTTTCTAAAGGAAAATTACTGATTTTTTTTAGGTAACAGAAGCAGCAATTTAAAATTTGGTGTGAAATTGAAGGTGTGTTCTATCTTCTCCAGGCCTTTGACTACCCACTTCTTTTGTAAATGGGAAGCAATTATGGCGAAAAAAGTTTCCAAGGGAACATGTCAGCCTTCCCACAGTTTCTCTACCAGTCCACAGTTGTGGCCTAGTTTTATAGCTGCATGTCAAGAGTCCATCACTCATAGCACATACTACTTATGAGATTTCTGTTCAGAGAAATATGCTTAGAAACTTCCACCTTTCTAAGTCACCCACTGTTACCTTCTCTGATGAACGGCCCCTTGTCAGCACTGTCAAACGTAGCAAAAGTGTAAAATCCAATTACCCACAGTTAAGGCTGTTTAATCCTTTCTTTCCCTAGGGGTGTTCCAGCTGTGGTTGACTTTGCCGCTATGCGTGATGCTGTGAAGAAGCTGGGAGGAGACCCAGAGAAAATCAACCCTGTGTGTCCCGCTGACCTTGTGATTGATCATTCCATCCAGGTTGATTTCAACAGAAGGTGAGGCAGGATTATGAGTTCTTGAGTATTCTGTTTTGTGAAAAATCTTGGAGTAGAAGTTGGTTTTGTCTTTGGCCTTTTCTTTTCGAAATGTGTTTACTTAGAAAAAATCTTTAAAAGGTATTGTCAGGAATATTCAAACTGAATGTAGACTTGGCAGTGAATTTCTTTTGTGGAGAGTGGACTCTTTAAAGATTTATTTTTTTGTATGTGTATTTACTTTGGTTAAGAGCAGCCTGCATTTGTATAAAGTTTAAGTGAAACAGACAATACATTAAATTCCACCATGAGTTTGTCAATATAAGTATGTACTTAACTGAGTTAAATTTGGATTGTTTTCATCCCCTGGAGCTTTTTTTAATTGTTTTTTTCTTGTTTTGTTTGTTTTCATTTGGCTTTGGTAGTAGTGGAGACTGAATTCGGGGTTACTTGTTAGGTGAATCCTCTCCCATTTGAGACATGCCTGTCAAGCCTTTTTGCTTTGGTTATTTTTAAGGGATTGGGTCTCTCCATTTTGTAGAAGCCAGCCTGGGCTATGATCCTTCTGATCTCTGCCTCCTGAATAGCTGAGATTATAGGCATGACCTGTTCAGGTGTACACCTGGCACTTTATTCCTCTTTTTAATCCCAAGTAGTTGTCTTGTATCTAGCTGTTTTGTGGGTCTTGGGGGTTTCTCTCCACTTCTGTTTATTCTGTTGTCTGAGATAGCCTCTCCTCTCTGCTCCTGTCCTCCACACTTAACTAACAGCACTGTATATTAAATCCTCTTGTAATGTATTCTGGAGATTTTATATTCTCTGTTCTAGAATTTCCACTTCCAAGCTTGCCTTTAATCAACATCTGAAATCCAGAAGAAGCCAATAATGTTCATAGCCAATAATGTCCACTAAAGTATTACTTACAAATGAAAGCCCAGGAGCAGTCCAAATGGCAAAGAAAGATGAATGGTTTGTTAAATTGTGGTACATCCTAGAAATTATTAGGTAATTGTTCCATTATGTTTATAAAGTGTTTTATTATTCTTGGAACAAGCTCATGATAACTCAGTGAGCCAGGTCCTAAATTGTAGGTGTAGAAATCTCAGCTAGACAAAAGATATATGGGAATTAAAAGATGAAAAAGAAGTACTAAAGCAATCATTACTGGAATTGCAACTGGTCTTTGTTTATTTTTACACTAACAAGATATTACTTCATAATTTTTTAAGTCATATGAAATAAACCACTCAAAGGGAAATAAAACTACCCTGGAGATTTGGTTGGGTTCCAGAAAGACTCAAAGGACATTTAGGAAATGATCATTTTTCCAATTAATATTATAATATTTATCCAGATAAATTTAGAAATGTACTTTGTTCTCTGAATTGACAATTCTTGGGCAAAGAGACTGAATTCTTGCCAACTGTCTTTTTCCTTTGCAACCTTAGCAACCTGCCTTCACACCTTTAGATCACAGGGGCTCAGTTTAAAGTTTCATTTCAAAATGAAAGATTGAAGGCATAAAATGATACTGTATTTGACAGTTAAGTATGTTTCCTAAAGTCCCCTCCAGAAATGATAGGAGTGGCCCTACAACACAGGGCCAGCTTCATCTTGGAGAGGCTCATTGATGACTTCATTTTGCCTGGCTAGAAAGTCAAAGGACTAGTGGAGACAGAAGTGTAATTTCTAAGACTTCTTGGCTTAGAAGTTGAAGTATTTATGGTTATTAGTGTATCTGCATTATCAGTTAGTTTACCTTGACTTTCCCCCCTTTAGATCTTGACTTCCAGCAACTCTGGTTTTCATTTTTTATGTCTTTCCCATTTACACTGTGAACATTGCATTATGAAAACTACAAAATCCAGAGGATGACCTCCTAGTCTTAATATCCAAATCTAAGCCAGCTGCTGATTCCAGCTACTCAAGGGGCTAATATCTGAAGGATCATTGTTTGAGAACACCCTAGGCAAAAAAATTCAATAAGCTCCATCTCCAAAATAACCAGCAAAAAGCAAGACTGGATGTATGAGTTGAGTGGTAGAGTGCCACACTAACAAGTGTAAGGCCTAGGTTCATACTGCAATACCAAAGAGAGAAAAGAGAAACGCAAAAAATAGATATCTAAATCTAGTAAACATATATATATATATATATATATACATATATATATATATATATATATATAATTGGAGAAGACAGTTAGAATTGTTTTCATTGATGGTATTTTGTTCTCTTTTCTTGTGTTTCGGTTTTGCAATTTGACCTCCTGATCTTGTTCCTTATTTTTGTTCTTACCGCTCTTCCAGAGGTAAAGGGAAAGGGTGGTAGAAAGATGCCTTTTTCCATTCTTTCTAAGCAACTTGGCCTACTTTGAATAATATTGGCTTAATGTTGTGTTTTGGGAAGTTAGGCTATAGCTATTATATATTTTGTTGTAACATTTTACATAATTACCTTGGAAGTACGTCCTCCTAACAAGAATTTCGGACAAGACGTCATGGATGTGAAAACTGTCTTATTTTTAAATATGATTTATGAATTTCTAGAGCACCATTCAGTGTGATTCTCAGGAACTGTGAACAGTGTCCATATGTGAATTCAAATCATATAATTAGCAAACAATTTTTCTGTTTGTCTGTGAGGTCATTCACATGCAGGGATCTTGCTTAAAGTTCACAAGATGGAAATAATTTAGGAAGAACTCTCAACTCTAGGTCTGTTTATTCATTCCAGTAATTAGAACTAAATGAATTGACAAGGCTGAGCGTAACAGATGTTTTATTTTCATAGTAAATAGGTTTTTACCTAGAACTACTATAACTTGGACATTTCTGCCTGCTCATCCTCCCATGAATATGTTGCTTTTGTCAGGCTAATGTCTCCAGCATTTCCTGGGGCCGGCATTTGCCTTCCACCTGACAGCCTCCTGCTGCTGGAGGAAAAGAGAACAAAAGGACAGCAACTTAGTCCAGAAGTGCTCAAAGTACAGCAGAAAAGATAGGCACGGGCCCCATAAGCAAGAATCTTACCCAGAAGTAGAAATAATGGCTGGAGATCCCTTCTCATTTTGGTTTGGGCTTTGTCAGACCCTTTAACAAGCCTACTGTGGACCAGTATTTATTGGGGTTTTTTTGTTGTTAGAATCAATTATTTATCATAAAGTGAACAATTTCAATTTTAAACATAAAATTGCTTTTCTTCATACTGAACTCAAATATGAGTGAACAGGATTTTATTCAAACTTTACAAATATCATTTACACTTATCCTGAGTTTAAGCCTGAGACAGTTCAACCTGAAGTTAGACTTCATTCTAAACAGTTAAGCATCTGACAACAGTGCAGAGGATGACCGTGCATGACCATATACAACCCAATGGTCCAGAGAAATCTGTGAACATTGACACAAATGAACTTCAACCCTTTACTTTGCTCTGGTCCACATCATCTTTTTTTTCTCCCTTTTCCAGTCCTAGGGATTGAACCCAGGGCCTCAGCATGCTAGGGAAGTGCTTTATACCCTGAGCTACATCCGAAGCTTTCATAAGATCTTTGGAGCCTAAAATTGTCTACTGTAAAATAACTTCAAAAATCTGCAAATGGGGCTGGGAAGGTGGCTCAGTGGTAGAGCGCTTGCCTTGCATGCATGAGACCCTGGGTTCGATCCCTCAGCACCACATAAGCAGAAAAAAAAAAGCCAGAAGTGGTGCTGTGGCTCAAGTGGTAGAGCACTAGCCTTGAGCTGAAGAGCTGAGGGACAGCGCCCAAGCCCAGAGTTCAGGTCCATGACCGGACCCCCCCCAAAAAATCTGCAAATGACATATTTCTGAAGGTGCACCCAGATACAAAATTTTAGCTCAGAAGCTGCTTTAGGTGACAACTTTTCAGTCCTCACTGTTCATCATGTACTTGAAAATATGCAGCAGCATGGTACTGTTTAAAAAGTTTATAAAAATCAGTACTTGTAACAAAATATAAAATACAGAGTATCTCTTTTTCAAATATGAAGTCTCTGAATGTTTCATTCATCCTTTGGTTTCAGACCCATATAATGCAGTCATATGACACTGTACACTTGAGCACTGAGACAGAACACTGTCCCTCTAACTGGGAGGGAGGTAAACTAGTATTTGTTCATGAAGCTAGTTAGATTAGAAGAAGAGACTCGTGACCGTGTAATTTTAATATAGCTGCAAAGTGCAGCCACCCAGAGAGAGCCGAAAATCATCCTGAAAGTGACTGAAGTTCTTGGAATGGCCAGTTACAGCCACACAAACAAGGGAACACATGCATGCCAGCCCACACGTGGCTCGGCTCAGAGCAGTGGCAAGGTCTTGGAGGGAAAAGGGTGCAAAAACAAGTGTTCCCTAAATGTCTCTGCCGCCAGTGTTGTATAAACGTCTTGAATTCGTTTCTTGAAGTCAGACTTCACTATTAATTTTAACATCACTCAGTGCATGTTTTCTGTCCACCATGCTTGAGGACATTGTAGGGAAGAGCCAGATAAATTTGTATACATTTCAAAATTTGACACTCCTTCTCTAGATTGTAATGGTGAAATTTACCATACAATCCCGCAAGGGGCAGAATATAGCTGCAATTGGCGTTTATTCATTACTCGCTAAATTTAACTGTTAATTTCTTCAGCTTTGAAATTCCTACAGTTAGTTTTTCTTTCTAACAGGACAGACAGTTTACAGAAGAATCAAGACCTGGAATTTGAAAGAAATAGAGAGCGATTTGAGTTTCTGAAGGTATGGGCCCGGTTTGGTTTTACAGTTCGGTCTCCTGGCTGTGGGGTATGAGGGAGGGGTGTGTAGGAGATGGACTGGTAGAAGTGTGGCAGGTGTTCATGATATTCTATCTGTGTTCAATCCTAGTGGGGTTCCCAGGCCTTTCACAACATGAGGATTATTCCCCCTGGCTCAGGAATCATCCACCAAGTGAATCTGGAGTATTTGGCAAGAGTGGTATTTGACCAGGATGGATATTATTACCCAGATAGCCTTGTGGGCACAGATTCACACACTACCATGATTGATGGCCTGGGCATTCTTGGTTGGGGTGAGTGTTCTCAAGAGTGTTCTAGAGTATTCCAAGTCACATCACATCTCAGTGGCATGAATTTATATGACCACAAGTATCGAAGGAGTGTTTTTATCCGCAGTTTCTCATTTCCTCCTATACTTACAGTGCCTGGAAAAGCACTCAATTTATATTTGGAAAACTAAACTGTAACGAGGGGTTAGGGGCACTTCGTGTAAATGAAATTCATATGGGATATTTAAAAATAGAGGCTGATTTTTTATTTTTTTATACCAGTTCTACGGTTTAGACTCAGGGCCTCATGTTCTTACTCAGCTTTCTTGTTCCCAGATGGCAGAATACTGCTGGAGTCACACTTCCAGTTTAGCGTTTTTGCTGGTTAATTAGAAATGGAGTTTCACAGATTTTTCTACCCAGCCTGGCTTTGAACTGCAGTCATCAAATCTCAGCCTCCTAAATAGCTAGGAGCCACTGGCACCCAGCTAACCATGGGCTCTTAAACCTCACTCTCCAGTGTAGTCCTGAGGGTTACAGCCGTCAGGGTGAGGAGAACATTTTGGAAAAACACTTGTTAAAATTTTCGTAGAGAGACAGAGAGAAAAAATAACTGTACCCTGTAGAAAACTCTAAACATTGTAACTGGATTTATTGAATTCTTAGATGAGTAGGTATAGTGAATTTTTTTGTCCACGCCTTTCCCTTGCAGGAGTGGGAGGAATTGAAGCAGAAGCAGTCATGCTGGGCCAGCCCATCAGCATGGTGCTTCCTCAGGTGATTGGCTATCGGCTGGCAGGGAAACCCCACCCTCTGGTGACATCTACGGACATCGTGCTCACCATTACCAAGGTAAGGACATGCTGCCTCTTCTCTGCTCTTGGAAAACGTGTGACAGGTGGAGTCTGGATTTCTGTGTGCTGTGGAAATCCTGGGAAATAATACACTCATAAAAGGGATGAGATAAGTTTTCATAATTATGTTCATTTTCCTTTTTGATAATTATGTTTCATTTTCCTTTAGTGTTCATTTTCCTTTTGCTTAATTTTTTTAAATTGTGACAGAGTGAAACTATGTGTAAATTAAGATGATGTTTATATGCCTACCACTTAGATTTGGCAGATGATTTTATCATATTTTGGAATCTGTTTTTAAAGAAGTAATATACATTGTTTATGGCTGAAGCCACCTTCCCACAATCACTCTAGTGAGGTTGAGAGATTCCCATACAAATGGTTTTTGTTTTTGTTTTTGTTTTTTTTTGGCTGGTTGTGGGGCTTGAACTCGGGGACTAGGCACTGTCCCTGAGCCTGTTTGTGTTCAAGGCTAGCACTCCACCACTTGAGCCACAGTGCCACTTTGGGTTTTTGAGTGGTTAATTGGAGATGATAATCTCATTAGGACTTTTCTGCCTGAGCTGGCTTCAAACCGCAGTCCTCAGATCTCAGCCTCCTGAGTAGCTAGGATTACAGGCATGAACCACTGGAACCTGGCTGATTATACTTTCGATATATTTTTCCCACATGGTTCTTTATATGTGCAAATAGTAAATTTGTTTCATGAGTGTTGTTTGACTCTTAAATTTTTCTTCTGTATTGCAAATTATAGTATTATAACAACATTTTCCCAAGTTGGAAAATATTAAGATGTATAGCTTAAGCTTTTATAGGAAACCATCCTTTTTTAATGACTTAGATGCTTTACCCCCCCACCCCCAAAAGTTGCATCTTGGAAAATTTTTTGGAAAAAGTACATCATAAAAATCCAAGAGAATTTCTCTTGGAATGAAGAATTGGATTTATTTGAAGACCATACTTACAGTAAATATCTGTACATTCTTTTTCTTTACATTTTTTAAAGAGTGAACTCAGAGCTTTGTGATTATGAGACAGGTACTCTACCGCTTGAGCTCATCTTCTAGCCCTATTTGTGCTCATTTTTTTGGAGGGGGGATCCAGTCATGGGGCCTGAACTCTGGGTCTGGGCGCTGTCCCTCACCTCTTCAGCTCAAGGCTAGCGCTCTACCACTTGAGCCACAGCGCCACTTCCGGCTTTTTTCTTTTTGTTTATGTGGTGCTGAGGAATGGAACCCAGGGCCTCAGGCATGCAAGGCAAGCACTCTACCACTGAGCCACCTTCCCAGCCCCTGTGCTAATTATTTTTGAGGTAGACTTTCTTTGTACCCAGACTGGCCCGGCCTGAAGTCTTCCTACTTTCACTTCCCCACACTGCTGGGATGACAGATGCATGCCAGGGCACCCAGCACTTGCGCTTGCCTCCATAGTTAGGATTACACACACACACACACCATGTACCCAGTGAGATAGAATCTTACAGTTTTGTGTCCAGGCCAGCCTCAAATCATGATCTCTTGACCTCTGCATCCCAAATGGCTAGGAGTACAGCCTTCAGCCACCATGCCTGGCCGTGCTGTGTTTCAGATAGAGTGTGCCACAAAATTTGGAAACATTCGCATAACAAAAAGCACTTTTTACAGTCTGTGAAACTGGCTTCATGCACCGCTAAGTCAGCCATGGGCCTCACCCCTGGCTGATGGCCTGTTCATTGACATGTACCTGTACCATGACTCTTGCTTATCATTACCTTTACATATAAGTCATTTAAAGTATTTTTTAAAGTAATCTGAAGCATGTTGGGCTAACTTATTGTTTGTGCAAGAGGATAGTTGTGTTTTCAACATGAGCCATCAAGTTTCAAACTTCTCTGTTGTTTTTGCTGCTCAGCACCTCCGCCAGGTTGGGGTTGTGGGCAAATTCGTGGAGTTCTTTGGCCCAGGAGTAGCTCAGTTGTCCATTGCTGACCGAGCTACAATTGCTAATATGTGTCCAGAATACGGAGCCACTGCTGCCTTTTTCCCAGTTGATGAAGTTAGTATCAAGTACCTGGTGCAGACAGGTAAGTGAGGCTTGGGGAGGCAGAGGGCTTCTGCTGAAAATCTCATTGAATACAGAGAATCCAAGCCCCACTATATTCCTGTGCTCTGGGTCAAAGTTACATATTTTGTCCTGCTTTTGGACCCAAAACATATTGTTGGGATTGAAGAGTCTATACAGGTGGTATAGCCACTAGAAAGAGCTTGGTGCCCCAGAAGCCTGGATGCTGGATTTCAACTCCTAGTTTTTAACTATGAAACCAGTGATCTCAGTAATGATGACTGTTATCTGAAGTAGCTGGTATACCAGAGACTGGGCATGTATTTACTCTCATCATCATCATCACACAGATGTGTGAAGGCAAAGTAGACTGATTAAGCAATCCAATAGGAGAGAAAACTGAGATCAGAAAAACACAAGTTATTATCCCAGGTTAGTAAATAGCAAAATCAAGATCCAGCCTGCAAAGGCCTGACTCTGGTTGTTCTAAAACAAATGAAAATCTTCCCTGGAAGACATTTTATGTCCTTACAGTTTTAACTTTGTATAAACTTGTTGAGAAATGAAAACAGAAAAATGTGCTAATGACAAAAGTGTTTTTCTGTATGGGAAGGCCAGCAGAGAATCCCTGGGCAGAGACTTGAACAGATGGATGAGGGAAGTGAGGGTTTGAACCAGGCATTGGTAGGTTTTCATGAGGCTTTTATAAGCTCCAATAAATCTCAGCTCTTCTGCTAGCAGGAGGAAATTCCTCTGGAACTAGTAATGATTGTGATGAAAAAGTTTATTTTTAAGAAAGCTTTTCTTAAGTCTAACCACATTGGAATTCCTATGCCTTTGTTCCCCGCAAAGAATTAGAAGTGAAAAGGATATAGAAGTTAAAAAAAAAAAAAGAACCAAGACAGAATAAATAGTTGAGGGCAACAGCCTAAAGAACAGGAAGGCAGAATGGCAGCTGGGAAAAGGAAGAAGGTTACAGAATGCTTCCAGAAGTAAAGTTCACTTCTAAAAGAACTGGAAATGTCACCCGAGTTCTTACTAATTGAGTAATAAACTCACCACATCTATTAAATTGAGAGGAACACTTTGATAAAGTGAGAACCTTTCCTATTCAACCCTAGGAGAACTCTCTCCTGTTCATCTTCCTGGAAAGGAAGCATAGCATGCGATCAGCAGTGGACTTGACAGTAGGCTATGTTCAGTGTGTTAATAATGAAGCTCCTCGCTCTGTTTTTCGGCTCCAAAATGAAAGCCGGTGACCTTGGTAACTCATTTGAAACACACAAGCATTCTGGCAGATGGTTGGATCCAACTTTTGGCCAGCTTAACTGTCAAAGAAGCAGGTCCACTGGGCATACTTTGTGAGCATTATTATCTTCAATATCAGGATCTTGATAAGCATTAAATATCAGAGTTCAGAGTCATATTTCTGGTGATACTGCACTTTGGACTTTGGAGACCGACTTAGGTTTGGATCCTGGTTCAGCTATTTATTGGCTGTGTACTGTGAGAAAGTTTCCTGATTTGTAAATGACAATAATAGTGCTTTTCTCATAGGATGTGATAAAAGAATGAAATACTTCACATAAAGCATTTAGCACCTAGTACCAGGCACACAGGAAGTGATCACTAGTCAGGGGCCGGGAGGAGGGGTGTTGGGCTGGGAATCAGTGGGGTGATTATTTCAGAAGAAATGTCGTATGCCAAGTCTTCATGACCAGCTGAAGGCAGATGCGGAGGTGCACTTTGACAACTGTCTCAGACTTAGGTTCCTCCTAATCAAGGATTGGAAACCAAAAAGAAGAGGGGAACCTACAAGTAGACCCAGAATTCCTTCCAGAAGATATAGCTACTTTGTGAGGAACAGCAGGTCATTCACGGCTCCATCCAAATGCAGACAGCATCAATCAGAGGGTCACACAAGCAGCTGTTGCTGAGTGTATGTGTGAACTACATATTCCTTTCATAACTGCTGATGGACAGTTTTAAGATCTGTCACCAGGAAATACTAACATGTCACTTTCCACTCTTTATACCATTTAGGTCGGGATGAAAACAAAGTGAAGTACATTAAAAAGTATCTTCAAGCTGTAGGAATGTTTCGTGATTTCTGTGACTCCTCGCAAGACCCAGACTTTGCTCAGGTATGAGATATAACGTCTTCTACCAAACACCTTTCTTCTTTCCCAAGGTTGCACTTATAGGTGTCTGTTTTCTGGGGTGGAGAGTGCAGTGCACTTGTGAGAAATGAGTCACAAGGATGAAATATGAAAGGGATAAGGAAAACCTAAGAAATGTTTCAAATACTGATTGACACCTCCTGCAGGGCAGAGGAACTAGAGCTATTCACAGGCTTAAGTTTGTCATTGATGTAGTCCTGAAAAGAAGCAAAGGTATGAACTCATCAGTTGATTCTATTTATCCTTCTATTTGCCTTTATTTCTTGGGTTGCAAACTGAACCTGTGTGTTTTGATAGCCAAGGCTGGAGGGTAAGCCAGACTTGGAATCCTTATTTTTATGTTTTATTGAGAGAAGGAAGTATGTGGTGAAACTAAAGCCTAGTTCCTGGCACCAGTGACTTACTAGCATGTCCTACCAGATCACTTTTGATATGTGTTGGTTTATGTACTGCATCAGTAGAAAACCCACCTCAACCTAATGGGAGCAATGAAAACTATATATTACAAACTGCTTCCCAGCGTGGGATAAGTGAAGATACTGCATAGCTGCTGCAGCATCTACTCTGATCTCTTGAGAGGCAGCCAGAAGTCCTGCCAGTCTCGCTTAAGTGCCCAGCTTGACCTTGGGAAATGAACAGCTCGGGTCTTAAAAGGAGTCTTGGGCTTCTTTGTTTTAGACGGTGATGATTTTGTTTATTGGCTTATGTTACATTTCGTTGCGATGGTTGGTTTCTCTAGCCTGGCTTGTGCTGCTGCTTTGTACCTGTAACGTGAATTTCGCAATTCCTTTTGGCTCGGATTTACAGGTTGTGGAGTTAGATTTGCAAACAGTGGTACCTTGCTGCAGTGGACCCAAAAGGCCTCAGGACAAAGTCGCTGTGTCTGACATGAAAAAAGACTTTGAAAGCTGCCTTGGAGCCAAGGTAGGGCCTCTGGACTTGGCCACACGTCCAGTTTCCTTCCTGCCCAGGCTTTTACCCCACTCCATGAGGAATCCTCCTGGAGCCTGCTACCGAGGGCAAGTCTTGTTCATTCTAAAATCCTTAGTGATTCCTTCACTACTTGCTAGCAAGGCAGCTTCCTTAGAGCCATGTGCCTTTGTGTAAACACAACTGAACCTTCCTTTTTATGTATGTCTGCTTTTCACATGGCTCACCATGTTGCTTACCCCACTCATGACTGCCTGTCATGGTTAATGTCAGCCTTTTCCTACATGGCCACCATGTTTCTTCTCCATCATCTGATGTGCTAGTCTGTGACATCCTTCAGACTTAGTACAGATACCAGCTCTGCAACACAGCCTGACATCTCCTAACAAAGTCTTCTTTGCCTCTCTCAGAATTTCAGGGCACTTGGTCTGACCACCTTTGATGGGATATCACTTGCTTTAAATTATGTTGTTGGTACCTTATTTACATGTACAAATTCCCTTACTGAATTATACTGTGGAACATAGGACGTGTGTCAGAATACCCAATGGAATGTCTGTACGCAGACTTTCTGTTGAATATTTTCCAAATAAAAAATAAATGATCAAGATGTGCCATGACTTGTAATCCCAGTACTCAGGAGACTGAGGCAGAGGGATTGTGGGTTCATCTCCAGCGGGAGCTATATAGTGGCAGCCTGTTTCAAGAAAATTGTAATGAAAGGGACTCACTCTTGGACACTAGCATTGTACCCTATGACAAAAAAAAATTACCATTACCGAAATATTCCTCCTCCTCCCAAAGTAAAAACTTTGACCATATATGTTTTTGCTTCCTATCTCTATGTCTTACCTTTTTCTTCCTGTATATAATATGTACTTTTTTCTACCTATAGCAAGGATTTAAAGGATTCCAAGTTTCTCCAGAACATCATCATGCCCAACAGACATTTGTCTACAATAACAGTGAATTCACCCTTGGTCATGGCTCTGTGGTCATCGCTGCCATTACAAGCTGCACAAACACAAGTAACCCATCTGTGATGTTAGGAGCAGGTGAGTGAGTGTATGTTCATCCTGTGGATCTGAGATAGGGGCCCACCTGGTCACTGTGTTGTACATGTAGCTCTGTAAAGCCTTTCCTTTCTGGATGCAGAAATAGTATCCAAAGCAAAGTATTTAAGATAGGATTCATAATATAGACTCATAATATAAACATTTATAATATAGACACACAGTAGGCTTTTTCTTTAGAATTATCACCAAAGATAAGTAGAGGAAAGCTGAATTTCTGCTGCCTAGAATCTGTACCAAATGTTAGAAAATTAAAATAAAAAAAGAATGCCTTCTGTCGTGTCATAGACTTTGATCTCTGAAAAATCTCCTGACCAGTGGAATTCTGTACCATCTTGGTGGATTGGCGGTTGCATCTGAGTCAGGGCAGAGGGCATGGGTTGATAAGGCTCAGTGCACCTGACCCTTCGCACAGTTCGGGTGGAGCAGTTAATATGCACTTGCAGGAGGTTACTCACACAAGATTTCTTTAGTTTCCAGATACTGATTCGTTGTGTGCACACATCAGGGTGACCAGGGGAACTTTCTTTTTGAAGAGTTCATTGGTTGCCACTTGAGCTTTCCTTCTCTGCAGCCACTAGACCAGTTTTCTTAGGCCACATCACAAGCTTCAGTCGCTCTTGTCCCTTTGCCATCAGCATCCAATTCTCTAGTAACAGTCTCTGAATTTGTCCAAAGTTCAAAGTCCCAGGAACTGGTGATGTTACACTTAAAAAATACCTGTATCTAGATTTTTCACTTGTAACCAGTTTTATTCCATGCCAACCAGTACACAATATAGTCCTCCAGTTCTCATCTCCAGCCACATGGAACATAATTAGAAAGATAACTTTTCCTCCAAAAAATTCGAAATTCATTTGTAATTTATTACTAAATGTTTGGGGTTTATCTCTTAAACAGAAACATAAAAGTAAGCACATCCCTTTCTTCATTTCTGCGACTGGCTTTGACTTTACTGAGTACATATATATGTTCCTGGGCCATGAACTTTGGACTTCTGTTAGGCAGAAAAATCTGGCTCTTTTCTGAGGTCCCCTGAGCACCTAGAGCAGGTGTTCATGCAGAGTACCTCTCTTCACTGTTTCACAGGGTTGCTGGCAAAGAAAGCTGTGGATGCTGGCCTGAATGTGAAGCCATACGTCAAAACCAGCCTGTCCCCGGGAAGTGGTGTGGTTACCTACTACCTGAGAGAGAGTGGAGTCATGCCTTATCTGTCTCAGCTTGGGTGAGGCATTCTTGTTTTTGTTGTTTTTTATTGCTCATGTATCTTGCTAAGTCACCGAGCAGAGCAGCTGTGGGCTTCTCGGATACGGTCTGATTACATAGTCTTCAGCAGATGGTGGATGGACTTCAACCTGCCACTCCAACTACTCAGGGCCCTGCTGTACAGTTGTGCAGCTGTTCATGGTACAAGGGTGCCCTCTAGGGGCCACGCCTGTGCTCTGCTTTCAGGACCCTGTGCCCCCCCCCCCACCCCCCCCCCCCCCGTAGTATACACCCTTTTCTCACGCGCCCTGGCGTGTGCCAGGAGCTGCTTGGTGGCTCTGCCACAGAGAGGTATATCTTTTGATATGAAAATAATTATTTACCATGGCTAACAACATTCTGATTCCTTCAGTCAAGTTGGGTATTTGTTGCCAAGTAGTTTTTCCGGTTACCTGTTATTTCTAGTTTAGACATTTATTTTCCAGGCACTGTTGGCTCATACCTAGCTACTCAGGAGGCTGAGATCTGAGGGTCACAGTTCAAAGCCAGCCCGGGCAGCAAAGTCCACAAGACTCTTATCTTCAGTTAACCCCTCTGAAAAAGCCTGAAGTAGCACCGTGGCCCAAATGGTAGAGTACTGGCCTTGAGCAAAAGGAAGCTCAGGGACAGTAGCTAGGCTCTGAGTTCAAGCCTCAGGACCTCCAGATCAATTGACTCTTTGTTAGGAGTTTTAAAAATATGAGTCAGATTCTTCTTTGATACAATATATGGAAATGCTCTACAGATGGGAGTATCACTGTCCTGGCTTTATGGCTCTCTGTGTCCCACAGCCTCCTGGATGGCTTAATGCCAGAGCAAGTCCCTGAACGTGATTCTCTTTCCGTGTCTAGGTTTGATGTAGTAGGCTACGGCTGCATGACCTGCATAGGCAACAGCGGGCCCTTACCTGAACCCGTGGTAGACGCCATCACTCAGGTAAGTACAGAGGAGCCCCGGTCTTCAGAGATGTTACTTTTCATGTGATAGATGACCAAAAAACGCTGGTATTTCAAAACAGTCCATGGAAACAGGGTGAGATTAAAAATATTAAGAATACTGTCTTTCATGCTAAAATTACATAATCTTAAAGACTTACTCTCTTTGTGCCTCATTTTACACACCCGTCCATTGGAGATGGCAAGAGTGTCTGTTTTATAGAGTTACAGGAATTCTGATGGTGAGGGTGCCTGGCACTCAAGTGAGCTTAATTCTTGCTGGTTTTGACTCCAGTAACCCAGGAATTGTTTGCTCCTGCTTATGTGACATTTGGTTAAGAGTCAAGCAAGTCTCCATGTGTTGGCTGCGTTCATGTCACAAAGTTCTGTAGCCTTGAAGCTACTGTGGAATGTGTGTGTGTCACTTGGCTTCCTTATTTATCCCTGTATCTGCACCAGTTCTCAGCCAGGCAGCCATGGCTAGGACACTCCATTCTCACCTCCCTGGTCTTTTCTCATGAGCAGAAATCACTTAATATTACTCTGTTGCTTTTGCTCTGAGAAGTCTACTGTCTGCCTTCTCCCTTAGCAGAAGAGGACCGGGTGCAAGGGCAGCTGGCGGCACAATAGGCCCCGTGAGAGGAGAGCTGATGCAAATGGTCTGTGATGAGAGAGCTAAAACAATCTCCTTGTGACTTGATTTTTCTCTCAAGGGAGACCTCGTAGCTGTGGGAGTACTATCTGGAAACAGAAATTTTGAAGGTCGCGTCCACCCTAATACCCGGGCCAATTATTTAGCATCTCCTCCCTTAGTAATAGCATATGCAATAGCTGGAACCGTCAGAATTGACTTTGAGAAAGAGCCATTAGGTAAGTTTTTTGGTTTTGTGATTGTCATTCTTTTGCAGTGAACTCCAAAAGAAAAAAAAAATGAAGTAAATTGCTGTTTTTGTTAGTGAAAAATGATGTGTCAAATCTCCACAGATAAAGACAGAGGAGAATGGTCTGAAGTAAATAATATGATGTGAGGGGTGAGAGGAGGCAAATGGGGAAAGTAGTAGGATTGGCTATTCTGGTTTCTTCTGAAGTTCATCCCTTCCCTCTCCCATGGGACTCCAGTGATAGACATTGTTCTCATATATACTTTGTATCTACACACTCCAGATATTTCAGCCTCTCAAATTCAGGAGAAGTGATACTTTGTCTCCCACCCCCTCCCATTTTTGCTGCTTTATGGCCTTGAATTCATTTTAAGCAGTCTCACTTAGAAATCTATAGTGTAGCAGTTCATATAATGGTTCATCTTTATTATTTGTGGATTCTATGTTTGTAATTTTGCTCCCTGAAGCCTGGCATCCGTGTGTCTTTTTTGTTTTGTTCTCAGGATTGAGCTCAGGGCTTGCGCTCAGTGGAAACACTGTCACTGGAGCCATGCTTCCGGTGCCATGTCCGCTGCTATCCTGGCATGTAGAGGGAAAGAAGTCAGGAAGGCTGCACTCTGCCTTTCTGTCTCAGTTGTCACGGTGTCACACTATAAACAAGTGTCATTGTTACTGCCTATTTACTTCCCATTTATATTTGCTCTCTCCCCCTCCCCCTCCCCCCACACACAGTTTGGTGCCTTTTGTAGTGACTGATGTTTAAAATGGCTGGCATCGGGCTGAAGTGCAGTCTGGTATCCTAACACAAGTGAACTGTGTTCTGCCTTGGGCTTGGACAGACTTCATTCAGGCATGAGTTAGAGCAGTGCTGTTGGCTATACATTCATGAGGCATCAATGTTCAGCCAACCATCAGAGTTCCTAGGGGATTAATTTCAGGATCTCATATACCCAAGTCTGCAGGTGCTCAAGTGTCTTGTAGCAAATGGCCTTACATTGGCGCTTAACCTATACAGATCATCTCTGAATTGAATGCCAATACAATCCAAATGTTTAAGAATAGCTATATAAATATTGTATTATTTGGAGAATAATGACAGGTACTATGTCCTTACATATTTAGTACAGATGTAATGTTTTCCCTAAATAGTTCTGAGGTATAGCTCAGTTTAGCAGATGTAAAACTCACAGACATGAAAGACCCACTACATATTGAATAAGATGTCTTTAAAAAAAAAAAAAAAAAAAGCACCTGTAACACAGGACTATGTATTGGCCAGCAGGTCTGAAGGCCTAACCTGTATTGTCTATGGGAGCAGATGACATTCAGTGATTCAGTACTGACCCTTCTAGCACAGAGGCACTGGAGAAAAGCACCTCCTGTGTGCAAGAACGAAGTGGAGACATAGGCCAAATGCTTCTCTCTGATAACATTCATGTTTTCCCAGGAGTTAATATGAAGGGACAACAAGTGTTTCTGAAGGATATCTGGCCAACTCGAGATGAGATCCAGGCAGTGGAGCGGCAGTTTGTCATCCCGGGGATGTTTAAGGAGGTCTATCAGAAAATAGAGGTGAGGCCCTTTCAGTACCTAAGAGAAATACTCTCCTGTGTTCTATCTGCATGTCTTCAGGGAGTATAAGGTATAGGAAATAGGATTTATGTCTTTGGATAACTAGAGAAGTGGTTTTCAGCCACATGATACCATTTTTTTAACTTTTTGTTGTCAAGGTGATGTACAGAGGGGTTACAGTTACCTACATAAGATAATAAGTACATTTCTTAAGGAGGAGGCAACAATGCTTGATAAGAAATGTACTCATTACCTTGCTCATGTAACTTTAACCCCTCTGTACAGTATTTTCACAATAAAAACCCTACTTTAAAAAAGTACATTTCTTGTGAAACTTGTTACCCCTTCCTTCATTTTTCTCCCTCTTCCCTCTCCCTGCAGTTCCCCCGCAAGTTGTACAGATCATTTCTAACATGTTACTTTGTGTGTATCACTGTTGCATTGGTTCCCCCTTGTCCTTTGTCTCAGCATTCTGTTGTTCCGTTCCCTTCCCTAATTCAGATAAATGTATATACAATACCAGATTACCAGCATCAAATACAGTGAAATAGGGGGAAGAACATACAAAAGAAACAAGAAATTATATAGTGTATTAAAAACAACAACAACAAAGAAAACCCTCTGGTGTCCATGTCTTGGAGTTCATTTCATTTAGCATCATCTTATATGGTCATATGTATGTAGCTATTGAGCTATTCTGCTCATCTGTTAAGATTATCCTAGACATATACTATTTATTGAAAATAAGGGAAACCATGGGACCTATGTTTCTTTGGGTCTGACTTACTTTACTTAATATGGTTTTTTCCAAGTCTTCCCATTTCCTTACAAATAGGGCAGATGACACACAATTTTATAAACCCGACACTCCCGAGATGTTCCTAGTATCACTGAAGGATAATCAGCTGAATTGATTGAACATACCATTCAGTGTATTATTTGGTTGCTTTAAGAATATAGTAAAGGGGGCTGGGAAGGTGGCTTAGTGGTAGAGTGCTTGCCTTGCATGCATAAGCCCCTGGGTTTGATTCCTCAGCACCACATAAGCAAAAAGAAAAAAGCCGGAAGTGGCGCTGTGGCTCAGGTGGTAGAGCACTAGCCTTGAGCTGAAGAGCTGAGGGACAGCACCCAGGCCCAGAGTCCAGGCCCCACAACTGACAAAATAAAGAAGAAAGAAGGAAAGGAAGGAAAGGAAGGAGGGAAGGAGGGAGAGAGAGAGGGAGGGAGGAAGAATGGAGGGAGGGAGGGAAGGAAGGAAGGAAGGAAGGAGGGAGGGAGGGAGGGAGGGAGGGAGGGAGGGAAGGAAGGAAGGAGGGAGGGAAGGAGGAGGGAGGGAGGGAGGGAAGAAAGAAAGAAGAACTCTTTTGTATTTGTATTTTAAAAAACAGTATTTGTTGTATGTCTAAACTAGAGTATTTTGCATATTTAATTTTCTGTAGGATGGATTATAATTTAATATGTCTGTATTTTTCTTTTTTCTTTCTTTTTTAAGACTGTCAATGAAAGCTGGAATTCCCTAGAAGCTCCATCAGAAAAACTGTATTTTTGGAACCCCAAATCTACATACATTAAATCACCACCGTTCTTTGAAAATCTGGTATGACTTTTTTTTTTTTTAACAATGAATTCTTTTTTTTTGATCAGTCATGGTTCTTGAACTCTGGGCCTGGGCACTGTCCCTCATCTCTTCTGCACAAGACTAGAACTCTACCACTTGAGCTACAGCTACACTTCCAGTTTTTCTGATGACTTATTGGAGATAAAAATCTCACACTTTCCTGCCCAGGCTGCCTTTGAACTATGATCCTCAAATCTCAGCCTCCTGAGTAGCTAGGATAACAGGCATGAGCCACCAGTGCCTGGCTAACAGTGAATTCTTTTTTTTTAATAAGTTTTTTATTGTGAAAATACTGTATAGATGGGTTACAGTTATATGAGCAAGGTAATGAGTACATTTCTTATCAATCATTGTTGCCTCTTCCTTTGTTTTTCCCCTACCATCCCTTCCCTCCCACTTCCTCAACTGGACACCACACCCCCACACCCCCACCCCCGTCTAAATTGTAAAGTTCATTTTTCAACATAGTGTCTTGTACATCTCATTGTTACAGTGGGTCAACCTGTATCCCTATTTAAACATTTTGTTTTTTCCCTTCCCCTCCCCAAATTATACCCACATCAAATACAGTGAAAACAGGAATTCTATACCTCCATCAGAAACAATGACATTGCCCTATTTGTTAGGAAATGGAAATACTTGGAAAAAATTATATTAAGTGAAGTAAGCCAGGCACAAAGAAACAGAGGTCCCATGGTTTCCCTTATTTGCCATAACTAGTATATGTCTGGGACAAGCTGAAAAGGTCAAAAGCTATGTACATATAAGATAAAGTTAAGTGAAATGAACCCCAAGATAGGGACACAAGTGGTTTTTTTTTCTTGCTATTGTTTCTAACATATTTATAAGGTACCATGTGATTTTTTTTTTTTGTTGCTTTGTATGTTCCTCCCCCACGGTATAACCCATTTTCACTGTTTTAACAGTGAATTCTTTAAAAAGCTCTTTGCCTTGTAAAATACACTTTACTACCCATTCCCTTGCTTAAAATACCATCTTGTTAAAAACCTTTGCCTAGTTAGGCAGATAGTGTTGTGGCTTTCGTAGGACCGGGAGGTTTGTCTGTAGGGACTGTTTCTCTATGCAGGGACTCTGTGTGACTGTGTGGAGGCCCTGGGGTGCTCTGGGAGAACACTCCATATACTCCCCAGTGGGTCGTTGGGAGGGGCAAGGCAGAGAAGCCAGAATTCCATTTGTGTGGAGAGGAAGGAAGTCTGGTTTGCTTTGTTGCTTTGGAGAGGATAGAGCCAATGACTCTGCCTTTTCTTCTAGCTTGAGTGAATTCACCTTACTTCTCTAAGCACTTGCTCAAAACCAGAAAAGGAGAATTCTGTGTGAATTTGGTGAAGAGCTGTCATTCAGTTTGGATTACTTGGTGAAGTGTTTTGAGAAAACCTGGGCAAACACTGACTTGTCATTTTCTTTGTTAGACTTTAGATCTCCAGCCTCCCAAATCTATCGTGGATGCCTATGTGCTGTTAAATCTGGGAGACTCAGTAACAACTGACCACATCTCTCCAGCTGGAAATATTGCAAGAAACAGCCCTGCTGCCCGCTACTTAACTAAGAGAGGGTAAGTCTGAATGAGGTGGGAAATCTAAGGACAAAGTCAATTTTTCTGGAGAATCTGTCAGCACATGATTGATTCCCAGCAGGGGGCAGCAGAGAGTCACCTTGTTTTTGAGCAAGTGTCATCCCTGCCCCCAGCTGGAAGTGGAGCCTGCCTGAGGCCCCGCAGTGATAGACCCAAAATGCCAGGTCCTGATTGAGAAGCATGTTTACAGAGAACTGCTTCAGCTTTGTAGTTCATTTATCCATTCATCAGTGCCAAAGACATGTCAGTGGTTATTAGATCAGTGGTATATAAATATAAATATTTTCTGTTGTACTGATGGGAATTGAGGTTAGAGGTTCTCAAGTCTGATTTCCCAGGAGAGGCTCCTGTCCCAAGTTATGATCAGCCCCTGCAGAGATGGATCCCAGAGATGGTGATTCTTCACCATTTTGTGGCATACGAAGTCTTTCAGGAATTAAATGAAAGCAAATATACCTTCTCCTCAAGATGCACCAACCCACAACATTACATAGACAGGATCTCTAGGATTCCTAAGCATGCCTGCCTGCTCCTGAAGCCAAGTTAGACCCATCACTAAACCGTATTAATACTCATGCCACTCCCTAGTGTTTTAAGAAACAGGCCAGCCATTGTATTCATTGTAAGACAATGTCCTTGATGGCGTGAACTGTCTTTTATATTGGTTCCCAGAGACGAGATTTTTCTCTGTTTGGGAGACCAGAAAAACGGATCCTGCCACATTGGTACTACTGTGATTTCATTTTGTAAAACTTGTAAATTATGTGGCCAACATATTGTTTACCTTTGCGTACATTTCTTAATAACTCAGGGACAAAGTCAAATCGACTTCTGCTTAGCTTTTATGTAATGTGAGTTCTAGGTCAGAGGCCAGGTGCAGGGGTTCTAGCATGTTAGGCCTGGCCCACTTACACTGTGTAGAGATGAGTGGTCATGAAGGGCAGACAAAGGAGGTTTATTTGATATGGGCACACTGCAGGAAGCAGGTAAGCAAGCACTTCAGTGTGTCTTTAGATTAAAGCCCACATAGTACTTTAATCAGAAGAATGGAGGCAAAGGGCAAGAGGTATACATAATCATTAAAGAATCACAGATGCAAGCAGTCTGGTGGTCAGAGGTTGTTAGAGCTATAGTTGGGTTGATCGTCCATTATCTCAGAACTGGTCAGGTGAGGCCTGGTCATGGTACGATCATTGGTGGCTCAGGGTAGTTTCAATTCTTGTTATAATATTGTATCAATCAATCCTATTCCTCCTGGATTCCAAGGTGGCTGCATGGAGAACAGCTCAGAAGACAGATATGAAATGGCAGCCGGGATGCCAAGTTTTTATGTTGTTTCTAGTTAACTTGTGGGCCCAAATAGATGCCAGTGCTTTCCTCCTCCTCCTCCTCCTCCTCCCCCTCCCCCTCCCCTTCCTCCTCCTCTTCCCTCTCCCCCTCCCCCTCCTCCTCCTCTTTCCCCTCCCCCTCCCCCTCCTCCTCCCTCTAGTCTACTCAAGAGGCTCACACTCTTGCCCAGCTTGCTTGCTCATAGCTGGCACTCTACCACTTGATCTGTGTCTCCAGTCGAGCATTTTGCTGGTTAATTGGAAATGGAGTCTCCCACTCTTCTGTTCAGGCTGGCATTCTTCCAACTTCAGTTTTTCAAGTCTCAGCCTCTTAGATAGCTGAGATTATAGGCATGAACCACTGGTTGGTGCCTGACAGTTGTTTTGTTGGTTTTGTTTTGGTAGTGCTGAGATTTAAATCAGGGCCTATGCTCACTAAGCCAGCACTCTTGCCACTGAGCCTGATATGGTTACTTTTTTTTAAAAGTAGTTTCTAATATATTTTCAGAATATTTGTTGACCTCCATCTGACTAACTATTCCCTTGTTTGTATTTTATTTTTATTTATAGCTTGCCGTGATGAATAAACAAAATAAATCTTTTTAAAGTCCTTCTTGGTTTTCCTATCTAGGTTCAAATGCCTCTAACTTTAATTCTAGAAGTAATTGATTTCTGCCCTTCTCTGTTTCTTGTGTCGCTGTGCCTAGGCGGAGCTCTAAGAACAGCTTTTTGGACTTGGAGACGAGGGCTTGGTAACATCATAGGAAGTGCTAGGTTTATTGTATTTTTATACTCTTGAGGTGAAATCTCTGCTCACTTTACTAAACTGGCTCCTCTTCTACCTGTGTAATTAGCCTAACGCCACGAGAATTCAACTCCTACGGCTCACGCCGGGGTAATGACGCCATCATGGCACGGGGGACGTTTGCCAACATTCGCTTGTTGAACAAATTTTTGAACAAGCAGGCACCGCAGACTATACATCTGCCTTCTGGAGAAACCGTAAGTACTGTTGCTTCTGCTCCTTTCAGAAAGTGGCATTTCTCAGGCTCTGGGAGACTGGCTCTTTACACAGTGGCTTTCCTTTTAGTCTTAATTTTTCTTCACAGCTTAGCCTACCATAATTCCTCTTGCTAAGTTAGGTGCCTATGTTTGTGAAGTTTGTCACTACCTGAGATTAATTCTGCTCCATCATGTACATCTTATTTCTTGGGAAGCAAGCTTAAACAGTCTTTAACATTTCATCTGTCAAGTATTTAAAGGGAAATTCCCAATCGAATTAGAGAACATTTATCAAGAAGTGCTGTTGTACATTCTTCCCAGTATTTAGTTCACTGAATCTGTGGGGAAGAGAAGGATCTACAGGCCCTTTGAGACCTGTTTCAGTCCTGTAGCAAGCCATTTGATGCTGGTGCGTGGGTAGGGGTGCTTACTCACAGGTGGGGTGTGTCGGAAGTGAGGGAACCACACAAGTCTGGGTTGAAATCCCAGGTCCAGTTCATTCCTGCTTTGGGCCCATTATTTCCCTCTGTAAGCTTACAGGTTTTTTGGGTTTTTTTTTTGTTTTTTTTTAATTAGTATAGTAGAAATAATACCTTATAGGCTTTATGGCTAAAAAAAAAAAACCCAAATGGAATGACACGAAAACTTTGGTAGTATCTACCATGGCCAGGGGGGGGGGGGGGGGGGGCGTGGTAAAGGCTTAGTGCCCCTCCCCTTCCCCCAGTGAATACTAAGAAACTGCCAATTTAACCCACTTGATCAATAACCCTGCCAATTTGTTTCAAAATGATGGTCATTAATACCTGTAGCACTTGTCATATGCCAGGAACTGTTCTAAGCATTTTGTATATTCTGGCTTTTCTAATTACCTCATAAGAACCCTGTAAGGAGGAAATTGCAATTATCTGTGTTTAACTTGAGAATGTGCAGCATCAACAGGTTACATAACCCCTGGAAAAGCAGAGCAAACTGTTTATCGGATGGTCACCTAGGCGCTGGTGGCTCACGCCTGTAGCCCCAGCTACTTGGGAGACAGATTGTAGTGACTGATCTGAAGCCTGCCCGGGCAGAGAAGAGTCCATGAAACCCCTTCTCCATGCAGACCTCCATGCAGACACATGCCTGTTACCTATTGAAGCCTAATATGAGTAGATTGTGCCCAGGCTGTGCCAGGGCAGGAAATGAGTCTGTATCTCAAAAGCAAAAACAAAACCAAAACACAACAAAAACATGAACACAATGTGACTCTGTGGAAGAAGCTCTTGCCTAGTAACCATAGGTCAAACCCCAGTACCACCACCAAAAAATTATATAGTTATATAATTTTATACACACACACTTATATAAAAGTCAACTTGGTAGAAATCAACACACACACACACATATGTAAAAAGTCAACTTGGTAGAAATCAACAGGTAGAATAACTAAGGACTTGTAGGTTGAGTTTCCCGTTGACTTCATGTTGACTCTGTCTAGAGACTTTCTGTTCTCTCTCCAGGACTCACTAAGGCCTGGGCCACTTTGTTGCCTCTTCTGCATCTGTAAAACCTTCCTCTTCTCCTCCTTAGCTTGACGTGTTTGATGCTGCTGAGCGGTACCAGCAGGCCGGCCTTCCCTTGATCGTCCTGGCTGGCAAGGAGTATGGTGCAGGCAGCTCCCGGGACTGGGCAGCCAAGGGCCCCTTCCTGCTGGTGAGTATGCAGCAGAGCCTGTGCAGGCCCTGCCCCCCCCCTGCCCCCGGGGATGGAAGGGAGGCTGGAAGGGCACCCTGGAATAAATTGCTGCTCTGCTCACCAAGAAGTCATTCCACAGCAAGCTCTGAAAAGTGTCTAATATGCATTCTTCTCCTGCCTCTGGATGGATCAGTGAAGGGGAAGGCCCTTTAGTTGCTCAGCGACCATGTCCTGGAGATCATGGACTTTTGGGGAGGTGTGCAGATGAGCTTTGGAGGAGCATTTGTGAATCTGACGTTTTTTCCAGAAGGTGTACACACAGATGTCTGTTCTGTACAGAGTTTCAAAGTGACCATAACATTTTCAGAGTTGGGGGCACCACATGTATTTTAGGCCATTGTCTTGAGGTCTCCTTTTAGGAGGCTTAATATCAAGATGTTATTTGATTCAATTCAATCCCTGACACAGGAAGTATAAGGGCAGTGCACAGTAAGGACTGGCTGCTGTGCCAGCTACTGTGCTGTCTGTGAGGCTCTCAAAGGACAGACATGAGGAGGCAGGCCCAGGCTGCTTCGGGAGTTTTTCTGGCAAGAATAGGCTCCCAGTCTCTCAGGGAAACGAGGAGTGAGTCCTTCACAGCCAGTGGAACCGCTTGCGGTGTGTCAGTGAGAATAGAGCTGTGGATGTGCACAGCCAGGCAGCTCCCCGTGGCCCACAGCCAGTTCATGGCTCGTTGAGTGTCCCCACAGACGGGAACACAGAGAGCTCTTACCTCCTGAGTGTCTGCTCTCCCTGAAGGCAGAGACGTTTCCATTTGCCTAAAGGATAAAAAAGAAAGGAACAACTACTCTGTTGGCTCTTCAGGGAATCAAAGCTGTTCTGGCCGAGAGTTATGAACGCATTCACCGCAGCAACCTGGTGGGCATGGGGGTGATCCCCCTGGAGTATCTCCCTGGGGAGAACGCAGACAGCCTGGGCCTCACAGGGCGGGAACGATACACGATCAGCATTCCAGAAAGCCTCAAGCCACGCATGAGAGTCCAGGTTAAGGTAAGTGGACTTCCCCATGCCCACACCTGCTGTATCTTTTGACAGGAAACAAGTGAGATTTCAGGAGACAAAAATCACTCAGTAGTGTGACCCAGCTATACCACTCCTGGGAATCTACTGAGCTCATTACAGATCAGGATACCATAAACACACTTGGCATCCATGTTCACTGCTGCCCTGTTCACAATAGCAAGTTACAGAAACAGCCCAGATGCCCTACAACAGATGAGTGGATCCAAAAACTGCGGTACATATACACAATGGAATTTTACTCATCGATTAGAAAGAATGACGTTATGTCATTTGCAGGGAAATAGATGGATCTAGAACAAATAATGCTAAGTGAGGTAAGCCAGTCTCAGAAAAACAAATGGCATGTCTTCTCTCATATGTGGAAGCTAGGTGTAAAATATAGCTGGACATGATAACCTAGCCAGGACTCTAGGCGTCCACACACAGAGTAAAGGAGGAACCCCAACTGTGACTTCTCTGTACATTTAGAATACTGCTTATTGAAACAAACTCCAGAAAATGAAAAAAAAAATGCTTTTTGTTGTTGTTGTTGTTACTGTCATTGTTGGTGGTGATAGTGTTTAGTTTTGCTGGTTTTTGTGTTTTTTTTTTCTGTTAAGGATGGCAAGGCAGGTGTGCGGGGTGGGGGAGGAGGGGGAGAAAGTAAGGGTGAACAAATGCAGTCTTGCTGTTGAGCAGACACTGTGGAAAATGGCCCATGTAACTTGTAGGCAGGGATGGGGGAAGAAACTGGGGGAAAGCAAAGTAAAGGATTACATTGTCCAAAAAAGAAATATACACATTACCTGACTTGTGAACTGGTAGCCTCTTTGTACAACATCATAATAGCAACAACAAAATGATATAGGGCTGCATTAGCCTGTAGTCCTACTGATACCTTTCCACCAGCCTTCACAACATGAAGAGGATACCTGTGGATTCCTGGTTGATTGCTCTGTACATCACAGGATGACCCTCAGTTCCAGTCTCAGCTCCCAGCTCCTCCCTCCTGCTTCAGTCCCACTTACCCAGAGAATCACACTGATGGTTCAGAGAGAGGACATTTTCACATCACTTATGATGTAAATACGCATTCACCACGTCCTTGAGCCTCGCCCCAGATCTGGCTTTAAAGCCTCACTGCAGAGGTAACAGTGACTGAGCCCCGTGTGAGGAAGGTCCCAGGGCTGCCATCCCAAGACACTTCAACAGGGAGCCCTGGAGAAGGCTGGGAACATGTCATCCCAATGTCACCTCCATCATTAATTCTCTACAGTGCTTTTCAAACTCCGCTCCAGTGAGCAGGTCAAACTCCTTGGGTTCTTGGGGAAATGCAGTCTTGATTCAGTGGTCTGGGCCGGGGGGCGGGGCCGGGGGGGGGAGACCGTGGTTGCTGGTACATGGGCCACACTGAGTGGCAGGCTAAGGGGCTGGCAGGCTGGTGCAGTCTCCCTGAGCTGTGGGTGATCTGCTCCTCCCCCTCAGCTATCTGCCTCTGCTTCATCCATCTTCTCTCTCTTCTCCATTGCAGCTAGACACCGGGAAGACCTTCCAGGTCATCATGAGGTTCGACACCGACGTGGAGCTCACATATTTCCATAACGGGGGCATCCTCAATTATATGATCCGCAAGATGGCCAAGTAGACCCAGCCTGGGTGCTGCTACCCACAAGGCACAGGGCTCCCAGCCTCCCCAGCCCCCACAAGGCTACAGCCTTGTGGACAAAGCCAGTGGGCTCTGCAGTATTGAATGTCGTCCCTGCAGGGGAGATATTTCCACATGCTCTACTTCTTTTATCTTTTTATCGATTCCTAGAACTCAGAAGCTGGAATCATGAGAAGATCAATAGTGTCAGAAAGACAACTAGCCTGTCTCTAAAATCACTCAGCATGGGACACTGATTTTTCTTTCTTACCCTTGCCCATTAATCTTAAGCTGAACACTAACAAGCATCCTCATAATGCTTTATATCCTCTTTTATTGTTCCTTTCTCCTCTGCTCCAGGAAGTCCTTCCCTCACCTCAGGTCTGTTGCTCTGCATCTTAGAGCAGTGTTAACTAACACAGGCAGGCTAAGACTGGTTCACACTTCAAATCATCGCACTGACTGATTCCCCTTCACAGCTCATGATTCAGACAGCTTGTGGATAGGGCAGACATTGGAAATTTTCTATTATTATGTACCTTTTTTGAGAGATCAACACAAAAGACCATTTTCTCTTTTTATCCTTACCAATTTTTCCTAGAAAATTTTTCATTTGTCAAGAAGAGACCTTTGTTTGGAGGTGGCTGGGGGAGAAAGACAGAACATTTTATAACTTGAATGAGATTAAATCTATTTTCTTGGAAATTCTGTTGACTTTGAAATTGAGTGGGAGGGTGGCCGGGGTTTTGTGACGGAGAGAGTGCATCTTCCTGAAACCTGCGTGGCTCTCATGTCTTCCTGTGTCTGCAAGGACACTGCATCAGCAGGAGATGGATGTGTGAAGGAGCCAGCGGGTCTCCTGCCCTGTGAAGTAACAGACAAGAAAGACCAGCCCACAGCATAGCAAGGTCGTAAGTATGGCAAGCCACACTCCTGTCCTTATCTTCACTGAAGGCATTGGAGGACACATCTGAGTCTGCTCAGGTAGCTAGAACAGAATACCACAGGTCGTATGGCTTAATCAATAGAAGTTTTTATTCTCCCAGTACTGGGCCTGTACGTTCTAGCCAACTTGATTTCTGGTGAGCCTACCCTTCCCTTGGCTTGCAGATGACCTTTCCTCGTATTTGTAATAGACAAGGGAGAGTGAATTGATGTTATAATATTCCTTATAAAAAACACTATTTGCATTAGCATTCCTAGCTCCGTACAAATGTAAGGGTTAGAAACAGCATATGAATTCTGAGAGGACACAAACCTGTGCCTAACAGAGAACCTAAATTAATCTCCTTCAATGATGTTTTTAAACATATTCACATTTTAAAATTAGAGCATCATGGGAGAGAAAGTGTTGTTATACTATCTCTATAAGAGCTTAGTTAGCAAGTCCTAAGTCTAGTAAATGGAGATATCAGAACTTGAAAGCTGATCTTCTGCACCAAAGCTACAGCTTTTCTTAGGTATTACCAGTTTATGAATCCTTGATTTCCCCTTAGTCTGTCTTCTCAGGAAGCCAGCATAATGCCTCCTGCCCGGGCACTCAGGCTCCAGGCCTAACAGTCTGTGCCTGTGTGACTCCAGAGCTGTGCCCCAACCAGAGAGCTAAGAACATCCGCTAGCTCCTTATTCGGTCCCCAGAACCCCAGCTCCACCCAATCAGTTTCTGATTAAAATGGAATGCTCGGAGAGGAGCTTGTTTTGTATTTTCTAAAAAAAAAAAGTTTCATTGATAAAAATCACATGTACTTGCTGTGTACAACTTGTTTTGAAGTATTCTGAAGTACGTATTATAGAGTGGCTCCATTGAGTCAGTACCTTTCAGCAGTATTACAAGAATACTATTCATGGTGGTCAGGAATATGTTAGAAATAATGTATTGTTAACTGTAATCACTACGTTGTACAATAGAGCTCTTGAACTTAATCCTGTAATTTTGTACCCTTTCACATCAGCCCAGTACTTCCATTTTGGTTTTTTTGTTTTGGTTTTTTGTCAGTCATGGGGCTTGAACTCGGGTCTGAAGGCTGTCCCTGAGCTCGTTTACTCAAGGCTAGCGCTTTATCACTTGGAGCCACGAGCACCACTTCCAGTTTTCTGGTCATTAATTAGAGATGAGAATCTCATGGACTTTCCTGCTTAGGCTGACTTCAAACTGCAATCCTCAGATCTCAGTCTCTTGAGTAGCAAAGCATGAGCCTTGAGTGCCCAGCTTCCAGTTTTTATTAGTTTTACTAATTATTATTGTCTTTAAGAAGTTGCCCAAAGGACTTTAGACTGAACATGCAATTTATGAACACAATGGGTTCCCCAGCCTTTGGCAATTACCATTCTATTCTACAGTTCCATGAGTTTTATTTCTTTTAATAATATATCCAGAGGTGGGATTGCTGGATCATATATTTTTAGTTTTCTTCAGACTGTATGTATATTGTTTCTTTCTGGCTCTGTAAATGTTTCCATCGTGGCAAACATTCTCATTGCACTTATCTTTGATCTCTTTGATAGTAACCATTCTAACATCTTTGAAATCTCATTATAGTTTTAAATTTTCAGTTCCCTGATGATTAATAATTTTTAATGATTTTTCACATATTAGCCATTTCTATGGCTTATATGTCTGTTGAGGTCATTTTAAAAATTGGATTATTTCATTTTTGTTGTTGAGTTGTAATATCCATAACGTCTAGATCTTAACTCCTTATCAAATGTATGACTTGAAAATAGTCTCTGTCCTTGTTTCCTTGTCTATAGAATCTTTTCTTTTGATGTAGTCTTGTCTGTTGTTTGTGCTTTTTGGGATTATAGCCAAGAAAAAATCATTACCTATACCAATGTCACAGATGTATTCAATACATTCCAGTACTTTCTTGTGTCAGGTTTCATGTTTAAGTCTTTAATTCATTTTGAGTTGATTTTTCCACATGGCATGAGATAAAGATCCAGTTTCATTCTTTTGCATAAGGACTTCCAGTTTTCCCAACACCATTTTGGAAAGCAACTTCTCAGTTCTTCATTGTATGTTTTTATCTCCCTTGTCAAAACTCAATTGATCATGTATGTATTAGTTCATTTCTGGCACATCCATTATACTGTGTGTTTTTATGACAGTATCATACTGTTCAGGTTGCTACAACTTTGTAGTATATTTTGGCATCAGATCTTTCACAATCAGGCTTTGGACAGAAAACTTCATTTCAGCATGTAAACACCATGTCAGTACTGGCTGGAACCCCTAAGATAATGAGGCCTGTGGTTATAGAACAGGCATCTAATCTGAGCCACCTGGAGAACTTCAAAAAATACAAATGGCTGTGTACCCTACCAGGGTGCTTTCATGGGGATTGGGCCCGTGACCATGGAAAAGAGTCCCCAGTTCTGAGGAACAGCCTTTATCAGGAAAGCCAGCGAACAGCATTTCAACTGTTGGTCAAAAGTAGGCCCATGCCTGGGAGGGGCAGGATTCCATGTAAAAGTCAAAGGAATTCTTGGTGGTCTTGATTTAGCTTTCGTCTGCTTTCCTCTCTAGTTTGAAGGTCTGTTTGCCTTCACCTACACTAACTTCTGATACACATTTCCCATAGACACTTTATATCTCCTATTACAGTTCTTAAAACTATAGCAGCAAAGGAAGGGAATCCCATATAAAAAGAGATAGTCTAATGAAATACCAATACAAAATAAGCTCCCAGCAAGTTGATTTAAGCAATCCATTTTATTACATCTTACTAAGAATATTATTAGTAATCATCAAGTGCCTACTACATAAGACACACTTTTCATACATCTTATGAAAACCAATCTTTAGGTTCTTTTTCCTCGTCTGCAAAATAAGCATCAGTGTAGAGAGAAGCTATATAACTAGCAAACTTCTCAGGCTAAGGACTGCTCAGCAGATCAAATGGAAGAAAGGCTGCAGCTCATCCCATCCACCTGCAGAGTGATGTGGGTATCTTGGCCAGCTGTGCACTGGACAGTCTTCAGTCATCTTCAAATATCAACAGGTGTCATGTTAAAAGGGTTGTGTGGTCCTGTGTGCTAACATTCTACTGAACTATAACCTCTGAAGTTTTGCAATGCCATTGATAATCTAGTGATCTACAAACATTTGATGTCTATCAATTTTAGGAAGAAGCTTAAATGAAATTCTCTGTGTGTGGGTGTGGGTGAGAAAGAGAGAGAGAGAGAGAGAATGAGTTCTGGTGCCTGACTTGAGGGCCTTCTGCTCTCCTGGGCTTTTTTGGTGGATAATTGGGCTCTCATGGACTTTCCTGCCCAGGGCTTGGCTTTGAACTGTGAACCTCAGATCTCAGCCTCTTGAGCAGGACGACAGGTGTGAGCCACCAGCACCCAGCTCAATGAAATTCTTGATCTGATAGAAATAATAAAATTCTTCCTGTTGTCTCCATGTTTCTGAATTGTCAACAAACCTTTCTGAGAGACACCAGAATAAACTTGGGTACATATTCTGATTATTTAAGTAGGAAGGACAGCCCAACAAAACTACTTTGGCAGTATCATTCAGGGGACTTGGATTAAAAACAGCCCGAGTGTTAACCATTAACTATTATTGGGTAATGGCTTCAGATTACTATTCAAAGAACATGAGAAGAAATGAACAGAACATATGAGGCTGATAAAATACCAAAAGCCCTTTTCAAGGAATGCTGTGTAACAGATGTGCCCTCACTACTGAAATGTTCCCTCTACCATGCTACACAGTGGACTGGTACATATCTGTTGCCTTAACACATACTCTTGGAATGACATAGGTATCAGAAAAGAGGAACCAATGTAAAGACTGGGAAAGAGGAAAGACAAAGCAACAAGAGTTGGGTAGTTTCCTTGATTTTTGTTTTGATGGTATGGGGGTTTGAACTCAGGGCCAACTCACACTTGTTTGGCAGGTACTCTACCATTTGAACCACATCCCCAGCCCTTTTTGGTTTAGTTCTGCTTTTTTATTTTTTTCAATCAGTTGTGGGGCTTGAACTCTGGGCCTGGGCGCTGTCCATTGGCTCTTCATCTCAAGGCTAGTGCTCTACCACTTGAGCCACAGCACCATTTCTGGCCTTTTCTGTTTATATGGTGCTGAGGAATGGAACCCAGGGCCTCATGCATGCAGGGCAAGCACTCTATCACTGAGCCACCTTCCCAGCCCCATGTTTTGCTTTTTTTTTTTTTCAACTTAGGTCTCAAGCTCTCTGCCTAGGGCTAGGCCACAATCCACCTACTACATCAGTGGGTTTGGCAGCCACAATCACCCCTAGCCTTGAGCAGAACAATATCATTAACTGGCATGTTAAAATGAAAACCCTTTGTACATATAACTACTTAATGATTAAAAAAAGAACAATTTCAGCAGATTGTTAAGGACAAAGTCCAATTTGTAGTAGGTTAGGAAAAAGAAGGTATGGAAAACCTTTCCACATCTCATTCGTTCCTCTCAATGTACACTGAGAAGTTACATGTTCATTGGCAGTAGGGTTTGTTTTGTTTTGTTTTTGGTGCTGGTCCTGGGGCTTAAACTTGGGTTCTGGGTGCTGTTGAGCTTTTTTGCTCAAAGCTAGCATTCATTTGAGTCACGGCTCCATTTCTAGCTTTTGGAGGGTTACTTAGAGATAAAAGTCTCACAGCTTCTGCCTGAGCTGGCTTCAAACCATTATCCTCAGATCTCAGCCTCCTGAGCAGCTAGGATTACAGGCGTGATTACTGGGGCCCCGCAGGCATTCAGTTCTTAAAAGAAGGATTGAAACAAGATTAACTTTTCCCCAAGCACTGTGAGTTCTGTTAACCTGCAAAGTATTCAATGCTATGATGCCCTGTGTTTTGTGTATGCAATGAGGTTCAAACTGCTGAAAACAGAAGGTGATAAATATTTAATACAGAATGAACTGTCGAATATCATCATAGAGGAACAGCAATTCATGGTTGTACTCACTGGATTAATTTCACTCACTCACCACTGCCTAGACCAGAAGACTGAGGTCCTAAGTCATATGGACATTTCTGCAGGAGCAAATTGTGTCCACTCATAGTTAAAGTCCTTCCACCTTGAGAACCATGTCTGAGCTCTGGTTGCAACATCCTCTACAACAAAACTCTGGATTTTGATGACCGGAATCTCAAATGCATTATACTTCACGTGTATTCCCCAGTCATGGCTGCAGTCTGGTCTGGCACAGAATATCTTTGCTTTCTTCACAAAACTCCCATAGGTCTTGGGCTTGGGGTGTGGTTTAATCACAAAGCGCTCTTTGAAGGCATTTCCAACTACGGTGTAATGGCAATCCTAAGGTAACGAGAGACACAGCACAAATAAGAGAATGTTCGAAGCAATCCCTGATTGTCTTTTTTTTTTTTTTTTTTGGGCCAGTCGTGGGACTCAAACTCAGGGCTGGGCACTGTCCCTAAGCTTTTTTGCTTAGGGCTAGTACCCTATCACTTCTGATTTTTTTTTTTTTAGGTGGTTAACTGGAGATAAGAATCTCATAGCCTTTCTTGCTCTGTCTGGCTTCAAACCATGAACCTCAGATGTCAGCCTCTTGAATAGGTAAGATTACAGAAGTTAGCCACCAGCTCCTGGCATTTTTTTCCCTTTTTCCTTAAAAAGGGGGGGAAAACCCTTCAAACCAAACATGGTGGCTCACACCTGAAATCCTAGCTACTGAGGAGGCTGAGATCAAGAGGACTACAGTTCAAAACTAGAACACAAAGTTTATAAGCCCTTTTCTCAACTAAGAGCTGGGCATACCAGAGCACATTTGGCATCCCAGCTACGAAGTATAACTAGGGTCATGGTCCAATTCATTGTGAGTAAAAGATGACACCCTATTTTAAAAATAAAAGAAGTGGCTGGGAAGGTGGCTCAGTGGTAGAGTGCTTGCCTTGCATGCATGAGGCCCTGGGTTCGATTCCTCAGCACCACATAAGCAGAAAAAGCCAGAAGTGGCGCTGTGGCTCAAGTGGTAGAGCGCTAGCCTTGAGCTGAAATGCTGAGGGATAGCGCCCAGGCCCCACTCCTGACAAAAAAAAAAAAAAAACAAGGAAAAGGGACTGAAGGTGTGACTCAAGTGGTAAAGCACCTGCTTAGCAAGCAGAAAGCTCCGAGTTTAAACCCCAGGAGGGCAAAAAAAAAAAAAAAAGTCCACAGTCACCTGAGATGAAAAGCAGGTATGTATGTTCTCACTTAATTTTCAGTTAGGAAAAGAAAGAAATACAAATCACCTGAGGGCCAGCTCAGGGTCCATTCACCCGGTCACACACTGGAGGATTGCTAAGTGAGGGGACCCAGAGCTCCTCACAAACAGGAGGAAGACAAACTTTCCAGCAAACCTGGCTCCTAGAAGCAGATGTTCCTCATCGATTCAGAAAGGAGAGCTGTTAAGATCTGTGAAGGGCAAGACTCTTCTTATCTAACCCTCTTACAAAATATGCAACATGTCACCCTACCAGGTTGTGGGCCCCGCAACCTACTTTTCTTGTCCAACTGTTACCTTGTCATCTGTAATCTAATCTGTGTGCCCTTCTGTAGTGACACTGTCTTGTATTCCTATACAATTAACCTTTTTACCAAGAAGGTCCTATATTTTTTAAAATACAAGAGCCATGACAACAATAGCAACAGAAGTAATAATATTCCTCCCATCAATATTTCATAGAGAACAGACATCAAGTAGGTCTGGAAAAGAAGGCTGCTTATTACCTCGATCACTCGGACCTCAGCCGTGTAGCACGCCAAGCCCTTGCACTTGCCACACAGCAGTTTCTTATTCTCCTTAACAGGAGCAGGTTTGGGTTTTTGTTGACTGTCTCTGCTGAATTTTTCATCAATCTGTATCCGGTGAACCTGCATCCCAAAAGAAAAGCCTTATTAAATGTAATTCTGAGTACTGCCACAGCATAATGATTTGCAACTTCCATGGAACTAAGCCACCTATTTGTATTGTTTTTTAAACATCTCATAGATGATTTATTGGTTCTCCTAATGGTATTCCAATTGCTTCTTCAAAATGCCCATAAAAGCACTGTACATAGAGTGTATGATTCATGTGAACCATGCTTTCTCTTTTGTGGTGGGCAAAACTTTAGAAATCCTAGGTGGGTGCTGGTAGCTTACTCTTGGCTTACTCAGGAGACTGAGATCTGAGGATCAATTTGAAGCCAGTCTGAGCAGAAAAGTCCCTGAGGCTCTTATCTCTAATTAACCAGCAAAAAGCTGGAAGCAGAGCTGTGGCTCAAGTGGTAAGAGTGCTAGCGTTGAGCTAAAAAAAAAAAAAAATAAAAAACCTCAGAGACAGCGCCCAGGCTCTGATTTCAAGCCCTAGGACTGCCTTCTCAAAAACCTTCAGAGATCCTTTACAGATAGATACATAATATTCACTGTTTCAAACATAATGACACCTACCATAGGTGTCAACCTATTGAGTGAAACAAAAGGAAGAGAGCCCCAATTGTCTAAATCTGTGTTTTCTCCCCTTCAATCCCAGAAAATGTTGAATTCCATGAGTTTAACACATATATATTTTAGTTAGTGGTGGTATCTGGGCTTGAACTCAGGGCCTTGCATTTGCTATAGTGACAAATGACTGAGCGCCTGAGCCTTCAGCTCAGCTCTTAATGTATACATAACATACTCAAATCCGACCCCAGTCTTCATTAAAGGGGATTTCTTGTTTTATGAATATAAGAGTTTTTCCACCTTGTTCTGTTAAACCTTTGCAATCAAAGTCTACCTCTTTGGACAGCAGCTGGGCTGGCTATTGATAGCAGGACAAGGATAAGCCTAAAATCTTGCTCCCACTTGCCATGGTATGACCTGTTACCAATGGCTCCTGACTATGCTTGCTTTGGGCTCCCACTCATTCTTTACTATTTCTGTCTGTGGATGCTATTAAGTAGCCTAATTGAACACATATGTAAGCTGTTTTCTCCTCACCTCACCACTTGTTTTTGTGTGCATGTGCCAAGACTAGGGCTTGAACTCAGGGCCTCCCTGTGTATTATCTCTTAGCTTTTTCCTTCATCTCCAGCACTCTACCACTTGAGGTACAACTCTACTTCTGGCGTTTTTGTTATAAATTGGAGATAAAAGTCACTGTTTCCTGCCTGGGCTGGCTTCAAAGCACAATCCTCAGATCTCAGCCTCCTGAGTAGCTAGGATTATAGGCATGAGCTACTGGTGCCCTATTACTACCCCAATTCTTTTCCTGGCACACTACTACAAAATGATGTATGCATCTGGTCTACCTCTACCTTCCTCTACAGTTACTGTGTTGATTCTGTTACATGAGAGTAGCCTGTCACTCAAGAGAAGAGAGAAAAACTGTGCCACAGTTATAAACTCAATCTCAAGCCTCCCTTCAACTTACAAACTGGACACAGCTCAGTGGAAAGAGAACCCTACCAGTAAAATTAAAGAGAGTAACTAAAGCTTTCCCTATAGTTTTCCCACCAAAAAAAGTAGTTTTAGATCTCTTACTCTCCAGACTTAGAGAAAGGTCCTTTGAAATTGTGCTGGTAATGTGGCTCACATAGTAAAACACAAGCCTACCATGTATGGTGCCCTGGTTTCAATCCCCAGTACCAGAATAAAAACAAAAAAGAGTAAACATTGACCAAAATATTGTAATTTTGGGTAAACTGGTTTTAGAACATTGCTTCTCACTACTTTTTCTAGCATAGAGAATGTGATTTTAAATTATGAACACTACAGAGTGGCATACTGAATTGTGAAGTCTGTCTTCAGGAGGTCAAGCTGTGCTTTGTGCTTCTGTCCAACAACAACTCTCATTTTTTGGCACATACTATGCTAAGCAATAGATACTCATTTTATTCTGATAATTGTCAAGTGAATTTAAAAAAAACTATGTTTTCCCAACTTTACAAATGAGGAGATTGATGATTTATAAGACATTGTCAATCATGATATAAAAGTAACATTATAAGTAGAACAGAGATTTGAACCTCTGATCCTAGTAATAAATATCCTAGGATATTTGATCTTGTCCAAAGATTCTGAGATTACAATCTCTGTAAAGGTTCTGGAGACATGGTAAGCATACATGCACTGTGGCTATGTTTTTTTACTTTCTTCATCTCTTTTGATGATTCTGTAACAAAGAAGTTACAATACAATGAAGGTCATCCCCATGAGGCTGGCCTGAGAGATTCATCTCTCCCAGGTATGCCTGACTGTCACTACCATGCAAGCACATCGCAGCACCTGTCCCGTGATCTGGCAGTTGTTCTATGAGGGCTCTTCAGGTGATACAGAGGGGAGTGTGAGGAACAGGTGAGGAGAAAAGCTGTGTCCTGCAGTGTCACAGTGTAATTCTCAAGAACTGTCTGTCAATTTATGAGCAAACTTAGCATGCCTTTTGCATCTAAAAACAGAACTTCAGGTGTGAGCACTAATGAAATCTATTTCATTACTTAAAAACAATACAATTAATGGCTATTATAGGATAGAACTTTAAACATAGACAATGTTTTAATAAAAAAAAATCTTGACTAGCCAGGTGCTGGTGAGTGACACCTGTAATCCTAGCTTGTTAGAAGGCTGACATCTGAGGATCATGGTTCAAAGCCAGCCATGGTTCAAATCCAAGAGACTCTTATCTCCAACTACTCAGAAAAATGCTACAAATAGAGCTGTGGCTCAAGTGTAGAGAGCCAGCCTTGAGCAAACAAAAACTAAGGGACAGCACGCCCCAGTACTAGCTAGCATTTTAAAAAAAATCCTGAGAAAATGATAAAAGATGTCATAATTTTCTGAAATAACTGCTTATTAAACTGGTACAAACTAGAAAGATGATTGGCAGTGTTTATCAAAACAAAAAGCTCACACACAGCTTTGACTCAATAATTCTACATCTAGGAATTTTGAGATAGAGTTAGGTTTAGAAAACTGGGTTAAAAATTCCAAGGATTGTCAGTGCTGTTATTGAGAATAGAAAACAATTTCAATGTCCAATAAGCAGGAAACAACAGTTTAGTGGATCATGGACCACACAGTTGATGTTAATACAGTTAGATGATAATAAGAGCTATGGCTATGCTAATACGGTCAGATCCTGTTAGAGTAACAGATGAAGAGGCTTACCGTTTTCTCAAACTGTGCTACATCCCATGCCTGAAGTCTAGAAATGGATTCATTCATCATTTTTTCCTTATACATGTTCATCTGTTCTTTTTCAATTACATCAGCATTGCTTGTCAAAAGGAAGCACTTGCTACCTCTTGCTCTTCCTCTGCCTAGAAAATATTTTTACTTAGTGTCTTTGAAAATTTGGATACAATATGAGAATATATAAATTAAGAGAGAAAACTATTCCTAGAATTAAACTTTGGTTCAATGAATCCTGCTTTCCAGGAAAGCTGAACTTTTAAAAATGCAGATATCCACCTTTGTGTTAAATATGCACATACACTAGGCATCTACCTAGGCTAGCTCCTTTGAAGACTCTAATGATGAAGCATAAGGGCAGCCATATTGTCAGAAATCTTGCTTTAAGGATAACCCAACATGAACCCTCAATGTGACAGAGGATCCTAAGATGAATAATAAATAGATCTTCCCTGAAGAGCCTTTTATGCAATGAGGAGATCAGTTCACAATCACCAGAACATAGGTAGGTTATTATAAATGCTATTAGAAAGGTACATCTAAAAGAATGTGGGCATGGTGAGATGGAGGCAGGAGACAGAATAAAGAATGCCAGTTCATGAGCAACTCTTTCAACAAGCAATAAGCCAAGTCTAGTGGCTGGACTGGATAATGAATCGGGTACACATAGGAAGCAAGTTAGGAAGATAAGTGGGTGCTGAAAACTTTGAAGACCCTTCAGCATTTAGGGAAATTGAAAATAACTGTTATTTCTATCCAAGGAAGTAGCAGGCTCAGGGATTTCCCTCCCCCACCCCAGAAAGGTAGTATGGCAGCTCTTCTAGAAAGTGGAGCGAAGTGGGACAAAGGAGAGACCAGTACAGAGACTCGAGTCTAGTGGCACAGAAGAATGCTGGAGCATTTCTTCTGGAATACAGTGAGTCTCCTCTGACCCTGCAGCCAGGAGAGACCTACATGTGGATTAGCAAAGCCTCAATCCAATCAAAAATCTCCTTTCATAAATACGTCAGTCATTGCTGGGCAAGGTAAGTGGTGCCATTGTTAGCTAGAATCACAGCGCTGTACAAGTTTGATGAGCAAGGCTATGACCACCCAATCCTAACCGAGTAAGTCACCTATGGTGCCAGAGTCCACTGTGCTATTGATCGCTTACTCTACCGTGACTCCATGAAGGAAAAAGGTCTAAATGACAAACACACAAATCAGGCAAGATGGGAGGCGTGTTGGGAATGGCCTCCTAATGGCATCTCACCTCTGGTTTGGATCATTTTGATGACGTTGCCCACATACTCATACAAGATGATCAGATTGCACTGGGCGATGTCAATGCCTTCATCAGCAACCGAGGTCACAATCAGAATATTGTTATTGCTGTTGGTTCTGAATGCATCCAATACACACTTCTGTGCAGGGAGGGTCATTCCTAGTCAGAGCAGGAAAACATACAACAACTCACCAACCACAGTATTTTCCCCTGGGAAACTAGAATGCTTATCACATGCTGGGTGCTGTGCTAAGTGCATCCTATTCATGATCTCCCCATCTTAGGCAGCTGGGCCCAGCCCTGTGCCTGTTTTTAGAGACAGGACATTTAGGATGGCCTTAAACAGCTAGAAATCTGTCACAATACTACCTAAAGTCAAGTCCCACTGCTGGCACTTACAAGTTGTGTGACTTTAAGCCATGTGATTCCAAAACAAATATTAAAATATTGACTTTTTCACAAAAACAAACAGCTACTAGTAATACTTTTAAAATATACATATAGAAGTCTACAGCTGACAAAACATTTTCATATCTACTCACTCATGGGAAGTTTATAAAGCCTTTTTTAGAGCAAATATTCATTTTGGGATAAATTCTATGGTGCCCCCTACATGCACAGGGACTTTCAGGTTTCATGAACTCAAGTTCTATAACCCAAATAAAAAGCACTGACATCTTCTGTAATCTATTGCCATGCCTTTAAGAGTGAAATTCTTGTGTATAATAATCTATTAAACTCTCTAGTGAGTTGACTTTAGGTTAAATCAAAAGGGAATTTGTTCGAGGCGGGCCTGGTGTATGCAGGTAACTTTTATAAAGGAGATCTTGGGCCTTTCCTGAGCTCAGAGACTTCAAATAACTCGTGGTCGTGGAATTCCAACTACCTGCCCTACAATTCTTGGGTCTTATCAGCCCAACTGTGCAAGCATACATATATAAATACACATATACATATAAATATATATATATATATAACCATGTATATGGATCATCTCCTGATTCTTCCTAATATAAATATTAAAAAGAATAGCATACTAATTTAGTACAGATATAGATGGAATATAGAGCCAGAACTCTCAACCGAGTTTTCGGCATATAAATACCTGTTACTTCGCCAGTTCTACCACGTCCTGTCAATATGCCAGGTTTTAGAAAGTTCAGAGCAGAATTTTCTTCAATCCAGTTCTTTAAAGCCTAAAATTGAAAAGAATTATCTGTTGGACACTACTTGTATCAATTCAATATTGTATCAACTCAATATTGACATATATCAAAAACAAAAGGCAAAACTTGCTGGGCACTGGTGATTCATGCCTACAATCCCAGCTACTCAAAAAGCTCAGATTGGTGGTCTGGGATGGTGAATCAGTGGTAGAGTACTTGCCTTGCATGCATGAGGCCCTGGGTTCAATTCTTCAGCACCATATAAACAGAAAAAGCCAGAAGTGGTGCTGTGGCTCAAGTAGTAAAGCACTATCCTTGAGCTGAAGAGGTGAGGGACAGCGCCCAGGCCCTAAGTTCAGGCCCCATGACTGACTGAAGAAAAAAAAAAAAAAGCTCAGATTGGGAGGATCACAGTTCAAGACCCCTTCTCAACCCATAGCTGGGCTCAGTGGTGCACATTTCCTAAATTCATGGGAGGCTAAAATTGGGAGGATTCCATTTCTATTCTCAAGCAAGAAACTTCACAAGAATCTGGGTGCCTACCACCCTAGCCATGAAAGGAAGCTAAAATAGGTGGATCCTGGGTCCAGGCATATGCTTAAGTAGGAAGCAAGACCCTATTAAAAACTAACCAGCACTAAAAAAGATCTGGACGTATGGCTCAGCAGTAGAGCAGCTGGCTAGCAAATGCAAGGCCCTGTGTTCAAATTCCAGCATTACCATAGAAAAGAAAACATATATATATATGTATATGTGTGTGTGTGTGTGTGTGTGTGTGTGTGTGAATATATGTATATATACAGTGGTGGATTTCACACCGACAAACCATTTTAAACTGTATGTAATAATTTAATAGTATATATCTGAGTGACCTATTATAGTTGAATCTTTAAAATGTAATTTACGTGAAAAACCAAAGTGCACAACAATGAGTAAAATTAGCAAATGGGTTTGGAAGACCACAGGATGCAAGATCAATATACATAAGTCATACTTAAGAATGAGCAATACACATAAATCATACACACGAATGAGAAACAATTAAAATTTGAAAATACTTTAAAGAGCTACTCTTTTTTTGGGGGGCGGGGGGAGGTCCAGTTGTGGGCCTGAACTCTGGGCCTGGGCGCTGTCCCTCAGCTCTTCAGCTCAAGGCTAGTGCTCTACCACTTGAACCACAGCACCACTTCTGGCTTTTTTTTTCTGGTTATGTGGTGCTGAGGAATCGAACCCAGGGCTTCATACATGCAAGGCAAGTGCTCTACCACTGAGCCACCTTCCCAGCCCAAGAGCTACTCCTAATAGCATCACCAAAAAAAAAAAAAAAAATGCTGAATTTCCATGCTGAAAATGACAATACATCTGGGCACCATGGTTCAAGTGTATAATCTGGTAAATAGACTTAAATCTGAATATTCAAGAGATGCTAGTGGGAAAGCAAGCTGGAGCCACAAGGAAGTATTTACGAATTACAAGTCTCACAGAGGACTTTTTTTTTTGTGTCAAAACAGAAAAAGAGCATTCCAAAATCCAAATAAGATCATCCCAAGGTCTTTCTGGTGCTGAGGAGACAAATCAAGCCCTTCTAGGCTCAACCATCTATCCTGTATCTCCAGCCTGATGACCTAATTTTATTTGGTTTTGGTTGTCTGTTGTTTTGTTTTGTTTTTGCAGTGCTCAACCATGCCTCTAATCCCGTCTGGATTTTGTTTTTAAGACAGGTAGGGTCTCTAACTACTCCACTGTTAATTTCAAACTTGTGATCTTCCTGCCTCTGCCTCCCAAGCAGTTGGGATTACAGATGGACTCCATCATACCCAGCCTAATTTTAAAATGCTCTAAAGCAATCTGACTAGACACTTCACCAAAAATGACACAGACATAACTAGTAAGCATATAAAATTGTCAACCAGGGAACAAAAGAAAGGGTGATATTGCCCAAAAGGAAATGTACATTTTGTTGTTGTTGGTGGTGGTGGTTATTGAACTTGGCCTGGGTGCTGTCCCTGAGCTGTTCAGCTCAAGAGTACTCTACCACTTGAGTCATAGTGCCACCTCCAGTTTTCTGGTGGTTAATTGGAAATAAGAGTCTCAAGGACTTTCCTGCCCGGGCTGGCTTTGAACTGTGATCCTCAGATCTCAGCCTCCTGAGTAGCTAGGATTACAGGTGTGAGCCACCAGCACCTTGAGGAAATGTACCTTTTACCTGAGTTATAGAACTGTAACTCCTCTGTACATCACCCTTATAATAATATTTTTTAATAACAAGCCACATTAGTCATTAATAGAATGCAAATCAAAATGTTAAAGTGATCCCATTGCACAACCTTAGAATAGCTGAAATTCAGAAATATGACTAAAACTACAAAAAAGGATGAAGTGCTTAGGTATTAAGACATGCTTGAGGTGCTAAGACAGTAAAGTATTGGTGAAGTATGAAGATAAATGAACAGATAATCAAAACAGATCCACACTATTGCAGAGCAGTACAGAAAGAACAATCTTTTCAATAAATGTTACTGGTCCAGTCTGTTACCCACAAGAGAAAGGAAGGCTTACATCCACAAGGGCTCTTGTTTTCACAAAGAGAATGGTTTTTGTCTCTGGATTTACGTGGTATTCTTCTTGTAGGATCAAGTAGAGGTCTTTGAGTTTAGGGTTCTCATTGCTAGGATCCAAAGAAATACATTCTAGTTCTGGCACCTTTTCTGCAAATGAAGAAAACTTTATAAAGGGCTTCTAAATCCTCAACTTTTAAGGCATGTTGAAACTCTGTTCAAACAGTTAACCTCTCAATCTTTTTTTTAAAGTAAGTTTTTTATTGTGAAAATACTGTACAGAGGGGTTACAATCACATGAGCAAGGTAATGAGTACATTTCTTATCAAGCATTGTTGCCTCCTCCTTTGTTTTTCCCCTACCATCCCTTCCTTCCCACCTCATCAACTACACTACCCCCTACCCTTACTCCAACCCCTTCCCCCCCCCCCCGCCCCGCCCCAGCCTGTATTGTAAAGTTCCTTTTCAACATAGCATCTTGTAGATCTCATTGTTGCAATGGGTCAACCTGTATCCCTATTTAAACAATTTGTTTATTCCCTTCCCCTCCCCAAATTATACCATCAAATACAGTGAAAACGGGTTATACTGTGGGGGAGGGACATACAAAGCAACAAAAAAAATCACATGGTACCTTATAAATACATTAGAAGCAATAGCAAGAAAGAAAAAACCACTTGTGTCCCTATCTCGGGGTTCATTTCGCTTAACTTCATCTTATCTGACATTTTCTGCTTGTCCCAGACATATACTAGTTATTGCAAATAAGGGAAACCATAGGACCTATGTTTCTTTGGGCCTGACTTACTTCACTTAATATAATTTTTCCAAGTCTTTCCATTTTCTAACAAATGGGGCGATGTCATTCTTTCTGATGAACTTCTCAATCTTTGACCAGAATTTTCTGAGTAATAGCTGCCAATTTAAATTTAGTACAAACTTTAGGAAGGCAATTTGGCAGTGTTTGTCAAAGCAAAAAGCCCACACATCTTTGACCCAGTAATTTTACATCTAGGAATTTTGAGACATAGTTATATTTAGAAAACCATGTTGGAAATTTCAAGGATAGTCAGTGCTATTACTAAGAATAGAAAACAAACATCCAATAAGCAGGAGTAGATCACGGACCACATACTTGATGTTCATACAGTTGGTTGATAATAAGAGCGCTACAGCTATGCTAATATGGAAAGATCAGAAACATCTTTTCTTATGTGTATGTGTTAGCCTTGGTTCTTGAACTCGGGGCCTGGGCACTATCTCTGAATTTTAATGCTCAAGGCTAGCATTCTACCACTTGAATCACAGTTCCACTTACAGCTGGTAGTTAAAGAGTCTCACAGGTTTCCTGCCCACACTGGCTTTGAATTTGTGATCCTCAGATCTCATTCTGAGTAGCTAAGATTACAGCCACTGATGCTTAGCCATATACATATCTTAAGTTAAAAACCAAAGTAACAGGACAGTTATATTCTTTCATAATATCTTTAAGTGTGTGTGCATATATTTATATATGTATATATGTATGTATGCATGTATATATAGTGATATGCTAGAGCCAGATCATGCCAGATTGTAATAGTCTATTATTGAATTTTCCAAAGTTATGAGAGCTCATCTTCAATTCAATTTCATTTGAAAATTTAGTCATTTAACAACTTAGTGGCATATTAAAAACAAATACAATAACAGCTCATGCTCTTTTTTTTCAAATCAGTTTATTGCATTTTATTATTATCTCAGCTCTTGTATTATTAACATGCAGTGTATCTGTATGATAGAAATACTATAGAATGCTGTGCTAATTTTCATCATTTTCGGCATTTGTTCAATGACATGATGTTGACTGCTTGAAACTAACTACAATGGAATTGTTTATGGAAGCCCAAATAACACTAAAAAAATCAGTACTTCATCTATACATGACAGTCTAAATTCATGAAGGTGATGAGGAAATAGAGCAGATTAAATTTAGCTAATATACTATGAAGAACACAAAAAAACTAAGGAGGCATTTTCCAAGTATTTGGAAAACTATTATGCAATTCGGCAAAAAAAAAAGGTTGGGGGGGGTGGGGAGAAACTGATTACAATGACAGATGAACAAAGCTCCAATATATGTAGTATCATTTCATTTTACTCTTAACATTAATAAAAATATACACCAATGTGCATTGCAGAACTGTATTTGTGAGTTGCAACCATTGATTGGGCTACAAGTATAAGAGTTCCACAAAATCAACAAAGGCATTTTATATGAATCATTAGTTATGTGGAATTTACACAAATGAGTACTTATTATTTCTAGGCTGTGTGCTACACATCACCATATCAGTAAAATGTACAACATCAGTAAAATTTAAACTCATGTGTGTGTGTGGTTAACATTACCAGCACAGCATTGGTTTTACATAAATACAGTAAGTACTTCAGTTTAGGCCAAAAAATGAATAATGATCGTATCTGGAGAAAAAATATTTGAAGAAAGAATAAGAGCGGGGAGGAGGGGGGAATGTAGTTGTGGAATGGGAGGGAAGGGATGGTAGGGGAAAAACAAAGGAGGAGGCAACAATGCTTGATAGGAAATGTACTCATTACCTTGCTCATGTAACTGTAACCCCTCTGTACAGTATTTTCACAATAAAAACTTATTTAAAAAAAGAATAAGACAAATTTACTTTTGATTTAAAATCTTTCCATGTTTTTAGCAGTATTGAGCATGGCATTACGGGTCACTCTGGTTTTCTCTTTATATAGAAGTATATATAAATTAGTAATTTTTTAAACTTGAAAAAATTACTAAAAGTTAAATAATAATGCTACATCCTCTTTTTTATTGTAAAACTTGTAGTATTTCCTTAATTTCCAAAAAGAATCCAGTATAAATAACACTGATATCTGACATTCATACTCAGAATGACCAAAAAAAAGTATACTCAATACATAATTCTATTGTAATTTAAAATAAAAATAATCAAGTTAATTTGCAGCTGTATCTATGGTCTGGAATTTTTTTAACTGTATAAGAAGTACCCTTTGGGAATCCTACTATTTTTCCTTTTTCCAAACAGAAAATGGTACAAGCAATAGACTATTTCCTTAGGGACTAGATTTTACTGAAGCCAAATAATTTTACCTTGGTTACTTACCTTTTTTCCGGTATTGGAGTTTCATACATTCTACCAGTGAGCTTTAACCCAATCCCTACATCTTCTTAAGACCAGGACAACAGCTGGAGCATCTCCGAACATATACATGCTAAATATGACGCCATATATGTATTATGTGTGTTGTCTTCTAAGCCACCAGGCGCCAATGGCTTTCTCCTCTAAACACATTCCTCACCTTCAAACCTTCGAGTAAGATCTTGCTCAATCTCATCAAATCCTGCTGACCGGACATTGTTGAAGAAGTCTTTCAGATAATTCAAAGCATCTTTCATTTGTGCATGCTCACTGATAATGAGAGCATCATTATATCTCTGTTTAAAATGAAAATCGAGTTTCAATATGTTTCCAAGGTGTCATATACTAGCTATATTTAAATTCTATTATCTGTACTTTTAATAAAGAGTCAGTGTAAAGACAATATTTCTCGTCACTTCCAACTGACTTTAACAAGAATGTCTCCTAATAGTTCTATGAAAATATCTGAATCAAAGACTATTTTTTAAAATGTTAACTGCCATATACAATAAGTAAAGTCACTTTGGATTCTAGAAGTCTCTCTTGGAAAAGAAAGCAAAAACTACATAGAACATGCATATTACATTTTTTAAAAATAATGAAAGCAAACTAAATTCCACATTAACTTGTGTATAATTTGGGTGTTCAACATCACCATCTTTCCAATCTTGTCAAATATGGGAATGATGGAGGCATGGCTGAGAACCTGAGCCTTTATATCAGCTGTAGCCTGTTAAGCTTCGGAAAACAAATAAAGATAATACTGAGTAGGATAACTTCCTGAGTTTTCTTCATATGAACTTTCTGGGAAGGTGAGCAAGCTCTTGGGGAAGAGGAGAAGCTGACATTCTCTCCACTGCCATAGTAGAGTTCCCAGGAGAGGTCAAAGAAGGGACATACCCGCAGATGTGAAGTATACAGGAAGAGTGCTTTGCAAATCCTGCTCTCTTCCTCTTTGTCTGCCATCTGGAATACCATGCACTCTTTATGAACCCCAACAATCCACTGTTCGTATTTCTGTGTTCCAATTTCCCTATTTTGGATCTCAAATAAGTGTCCTGGGGAGGAAAGCAAAGGTTTTTACTGTGCCATAATGCTTCTCACAGACACAACAGCAGAGAGGCATTTCCTAAGCTAAGCTATATGTCTTGGTTCAAAAATAGAAGAGTCTCTGGTGGTCCAGGCTCAAGGATGAGGAAAGTATACATCTTTGAGTTACTTTAGTATCTGTTCTTCAAGGCTTCTTGGAATGAGCACTGTACAGTGAAATTCAGTCAAGAGTTTTATTTCTGGGTTAAATGCTTCCCTGCACCTATTTCTTTGGAATAAAGGGACAAAGGAGAGTACTCAGACAAGTACCAAGGATATGTTCCTTTCCCAGCCCCAGGGACAAACAAGGCAGTCACTAATAAATTGGATGAATCAGCAAGTCTTTACAGAACTTGTGCAGGCATGAACTAATCTATACAATTAGGAAATGAGCAGAGGATTGTGGGAACAAAAATGGTGAATGCAGAGTACCTGAGGCGAGAAATAAAAAAGCAGACATTTCACACGTCCCTACTGTCACCTCACTCCTGCATGGCACAAATACACCTCCAGTGTCAGAAGGTTAGTACTTCCATTATGGAGCACAGTGCACGGTGTAACAAACATCTATTGCATGAATTAAGGAACAAGTAAAAGTGGAAGGATAGAATGCAGCGACTTCATGAATTTCCAAAAAACAATTAAAGATCACTCCTAGTTTGAGTGTAAGCCAGATGAAGAATAGCTTTAATCTAAATAAATAGGGACCTTAGGGGAGAAATAGATGGGCTATTTAAAATATGGTATTTTTTCAGGTGTGCATTTCCCAATGGCTTTTCTTTGTGTCTTTGTTTTGTTTTGTTCTGAAATGATAAGAAAGACTAAAAGAGGACTCACAGAGCTCCTGAATAACCTGTAATTAAGAAAGTCTACATATCAACATGGTCTTGACATGGTCAAGAAGAAAACAAAAAGATCCAAGCAAACAATACACGGATCTTCTCAAGTAGAGGAAACACAACACATGAGACTTATCACGCATGAAATTGGAACCAAACTTACCAAGTTGTTCAGAGACATTCTTTGCCAGACACTCTGTCTCCTTTATCAGCTGAGATATAATGAATTTAAATTTGTCAGTAGTCCGTGATTCTACTTTCCTGAAAACTAGAGCAATTAAAATTAAAGTGAGTGAGTACACTGGGAGACAGAGAGAGAGACAGAAATTATCTCCAAACCTTTTAGTGTCTTGGTTACTCTTTCTGGGAACCTGGAGGTCACAAACCTCCAGGGGGAGGTCTAAGTCATACAACCAATGCTCAAAAACTCTCCCAAAACTTCTATGCTACTCACTGAACTGATTCTCACATATTTTCCTTTGTCTGGGGCTAATGCAGCTTCTCACAGTGGCTTCCATGTTTCCCCTGTACTAACAAGTCAAGCAGACCCCTTCTTTCATTATGCGATTTTTCCAGCAAACATGTATTAACTGTCTGTCATATGCCATGTTCTACATATCATGTGTCCATGCATGTACGCACATTGCAGGCTGCAGGGTTTTGTGATGTAAGGCTGGAGGACAGGGAGTGGAATATCAAAGTCACTTAAGAAGAGGCAGTGTGTAAAATAAATACGGGAGGCCAGGTGTCACTGGCTAATTCCTAGAGTCCTAGCTCCTCAGAAGCCTGAGATCTGAGCATCCTAGTTTGAAGCAAGCCCAGACAGAAAAGTCTGAGAGGTTCTATTTCCAATTAACCAGCTACACAGGATGTGTGACTCAAGTGGTAGAGTGCCAGCCCTGATAAAAAGCCAAATAAAAGCATAAGGCTCTGAGTTCAAGCTCTAGTACTCACACTTACACAAACACACACATACACACACACACACACACACACACACACACACACACACACACACACACACGGGAAGTAAAAAAGAGGAAGCAGGAGCAGGTATAAAAGAAGGGACACAAGCTCAGAGAGAAAACAAATGACATGTTTGAAGTCAAACATAAGGAAAATAACATGACTGGGTATATGATATTTGGGGTAAGATAAAGCCTGAAGGCTAGGCAGTCAGATTATAGAGAAATCCACACACAGCTAGATATAGGTGCTCACACCTGTAATCTCAGCTACTCAAGAGTTGGAGACAGGGAGGTTTGCAGTTCAAGGCCAGAGTTGGCAAAAAGTGAGTGAGTCACCCATCACAACAAACAAGTCACAGAAGTGATGTACACCTGAAATCTCGGAGACATTAAGCAAGAGGCCTGTGGTCAGGGGGCATCCAGGGAAGTAAGTATTAGACCCTATCTGAAAAATAACTAAGGCAAAAGGGATGAGGACATGGCTCAAGCAGTAGAGCACTTGGCTTAAGTTCAACTCTCAGTATTGCAAAAAAAAAAAAAATTCACATGAAACACTAAGAAGGGTGGGTAACTTCTTTATACTCTTGACAGCTAACTCCCCAAATGGAACTTAACTGTGCCCTTGTATTTGTTCTGCCTTGGACTCAGTCACGGGCTGCTCAGAGAGCAAAGACAAAGCTATATGTGCCTATACCTTCTGTACCTCTCCCCCTTGCAGGGCTGGTATTAAAATAAAGGCAAGCTGGGCACCGGTGGCTCATGCCTGTAATCCTAGCTACACAGGAGCCTGAGATCTGAGGATCTCGGTTCAAAGCCAGGCCAGGCAGAAAAGTCCACAAGACTCTAATCTCCAATAAACCACTAGAAAACTGGAAGTGGCGCTGTGGCTCAAGCGGTAGAGTGCTCTCCTTGAGCTGAACTGCACAGGGACAGTGCCCAAGCCCAGAGTTCAAGCCCCACGACCGACCAAAAAAAAATTATAATAATAAAATAACATAAAGTCAAGAAGTGTTTGCTCTGCAATCTTGTATTTTTAATCACATTCTGATCATATGAGGATATCGGATGAATTCAGATCACTTCAACTGCAATGATTATATATGTATTCAAACTCAGTGGCTACTCAGAGCCCAGGGAAGGACTAGGCCCAGCCTCTGGCTACCACATGCTTAGATTTCCTCATCACTAGAATCGTTGGGCATTACTACTGGCCTCTTTATGAGGGTTTCATGGAGCCTAAGGGAGGAATGTTGGTTCCTTACAGGCCACTACAAAGGTTCATGCATTGTCAGAGGTAAGAACTCAATTAGGGAAACAGACTACAAATGTAACTGTTTGGGATCAAATAACTTTCCCATTTCACAAATTTTTGTACAATATGAGGGGTTTGGCACACAATATGCTTCGATCATATTCACTCTATTATGCTTGCTTCCCCCCCGCTCCCTTCCACCCCCCCCCCCCCACGCCGCCATATTCTCCTCCTTCACCTTTCTACTAAACAGATGAAGGGTCAAAGTTCAGAGTCTATCTTACATGACTGAACTGGAGGCAGCAGAGAGTAACAAAACCTAGAGAGCTTGTCACTGGATGCACTTACATTTCTGAGGTTTGTACACAACTTCCTCCAGTTCTTCCACGTTCTCTCTGACGGTGGCAATGACAGAGGCATCCAGAGCGGCACACAGTCTGCAGATGTACAACATGGCTTCCTCCACAGTGGTGGCATCCCCGACACCCACTGACGCCGTCAGCCCCACAACCTGAAAGGAGCAATCCAACAGCTGTGTATTTTCCTGACATTCTCTGTGACATTGCACCAAGAAGGGTCCCATCCGGCAACTGCACCCAATAAAGGCAAGAGTCACAACTCAGGAAACCCTTCAAGCCAAGTCTTCTCTGTTTTTGACCTTTGTGTGCCCTACCATAGGAAGAGAATCCTACTGAAGGAAAGACTGAAATGAGACACATGTTCATTCCAATCTCAGCCATGTCCCACTCACTGGCTGTGTGCCCCTGGACAATTACTTTCTGTTCTCAGTGCACTTGGAAAACAGCAGCTATCTAAAATGAAGATCTGTGTGGGTATAGTACAACAGCCACTCAATAACTACTGAGTGATTAACTCGCCAATAAGGAACTTAGTTAGCACCAACATTGTTCTAGAAGAAGCTACAAGACATGTAATCACTTTGGAAGGGTGCGTGTACACCAGAACTGGGATTACTCATCTTGCTTGTTTTCTGCTTATGTTCTACCACTTGAGCTAAGTCTCCAGTCTGGCATTTTGCTGGTTGGTTGGAGTCAGTGCTTACACTAAGTTACACTGAGTTAGCTTTGAACTTCAATACAGTTGGAGGATATAGGTGTGAGCCACTGTTGCTCAGCTTGGAAGGGTACTTTTTTCCTATGAGCAAAGTACTAATTTTCTTTTTTTTTTTTTTTTTTAAATTTTATTTTATTTTATTTGAGAACATACTGTACAGAGGGGTTACAATTACATGGGCAGGATAATGCATACATTTCTTACCAAGCATTGCATCCTCCTCCTTTGTTTACCCTTCACCTCCCTTCCCAGCCTCCCCCCTCCCTCCCACCCAATCATACCCCCCTCCCCCCCCCCCCCACCGACATTGTAAAGCTGGTTTTGACATGACATTTTGAAGTACTAATTTTCTTTTAACCTGAACATTCTAAATGCATAAATATTAGAGTTAGAGGATTTTTTTCTTTTTGTTGGGCTTGAAGTCAGGGTCTGGGTTCTAACCTGTGTTCTTTTGCTCTATGCTAGCATTCTACCATTTTGAGCTACAGCTTCACTTCAGCGTTTTCTGGTAGTTAACTAGAAATAAGAGTCTCATGGACTTTCCTACCCTGGCTGGTGTCAAACCACAATCCACTGATCTCAGTCTGTTAAGTAGCTAGGATTACAGGCATGAGCCACCAGTGGTCAGAAGAGCTAGAGGATTTTATACAAATTGTAGAATAGCATAAATAAAGCTATGCTTCCCAACCTCATTCGGGCCTTCCATATAACCAAAGGATGTTTCAATGAATACCTCTTCAAGTTTTTATTTTGTTTTGGGAAGGAAAGAGATTTGTACTCAGGGCTTTAAGCATGCTAGGCAGGTGCTCTATCACTTAAATCAGGCCTCCAGTCCTTTTTGAGTTAGTTTCTAGATAGAATTTCATGATGTTTCCTAGGAAGAGCCTTGAACCTCCATCCTCCAGATTCCTACATCCTGAGTAGTTGGGATGACAACCTGGCTTCTCTTGGTTCTCACTCCCCTCCTTCCCAGATCCTTCCCCTATTCCTACGTTAATGGATCCCAGCAGAAGATCTAGCTCTTCTATGTTCAAGAGACAACAGCAGCACTATCTTAGGAACAACTGTCTGAACTGACTCTTCTATGTGAAAATCGATGTGTTCATCCACTCGTCCCAGACCCTCTACTCTCTGCACATATAGTTCTATCCATCATTCCCTTCCCGTGCTCTACCCTGGTAGGGAAAGTCTGTGAGACTCTTACGTCCAATTAACTACTAAGAAGCCAGAAATGGAGCTGTAGCTCCAAGTAGTAGAGTACTAGCCTTGAGCACAAAAGCTCAGGGACAGTGTCCAGGCCCTAGTTCAAGCCTAGGACTAGCACACACACACACACACACACACACACACAAAGACAGCAAATATGGCTCAAGTAACAAGAGCATCAGCTATAAGCAAAATAGCCAAATGAACATGAGAGACACTTAGTTCAAGCCCCAGTATGAGCACATACAATATTCAAAACAAACTGCCTAGGTATTAGACATGTACAAAGCTTCTCCTTGCCGTTCCCGCTGAAGGATACAGTACAGTAACAATTTACATAGCATTTTCATTGTACTGAATATTATAAATAATCTAGAGATTATTTAAAAGTATGTAGGAGGACATCTATAGTTGCAAACAAACACTGTATCATTGTACGGAAGGGACATAAACATTTATTTTTGCTTTGGCTATCTGCAGGAAGAAGGTCTGAAACAACCCCCCTTGGATACCAATAGAGAGCTATTAGCTAAGTGAATAAATGAATCAGTGAATCAAAATTGACCAATGAATTGTGCAATGTGGGCTTAGAAGCTTAGGAAGACAGTCTTACAAGTGACTCAGGAGTAAGTAAATAGGACTGAGGAAGATTACAACTCTTCAAGGAAGTCCACTTAAGCGAAGATACCTGGGGCAGTGGATTTGAAGGTCCTCCTCCAAGTTTCTGATCTAGGTAGCTGAACATGATCATGTTGTATGGGTGGTGTTTACTGGTATTGTGGCATTCGTCAAATATCATCAAAGTGAAAACAGACACTGACAGAATACTTCCTTGCTTAAGACTATTCACAAGGATCTGTGGGGTTAAAATGATGATGTCATTGTTCTCAATTGTCTGCTGCACAGGGACGCTCTCAGCTGTTGCTCCAGAAATGCCTGCAACTTTGTACCTGGAAAACAATGAAAATGCCTTAGTACTAGCCAAATGTGAATGAGGAAACTCAAAGATGAAATGCTAGATCAGAACAGCAATGGATGAAGTCCTTCCTGAGTGCAAAGGAAATACTTCTGCCACTACTCAAGTCCTTGGCTCAGAATATGACATACTATAAGTGGCTCATAAATGGAAGCTGGCTATTATTATAGTATACGTTATTCTTTCAAGTCACTACGAGATAGAGAATACTTAAAAGAGTAACATCAGGTGGACATGATGGCAGATGCCTGTAATCCCAGCACTCAGAAGACTGAGAAAGGAAGATCATGAGTACAAGGTTAGCTTGGTCTTGTTTCAAAAAACATTCAAAAAATACTATCAAATAAATTTTTAAAAATCAAATAAAACAATTAAATGTGCCATTTACATGGCAAATTTATCCACCTAGTCATGTATGTTCTCTATAAGAGCAAACCATGATAGTTTAGGATTTCTGGCATAATCTAACAAAAATAATGTAAATCTATGAAGGAATTATTTCTCAATAATACAAAAGCTGAATCTAGCCAGGTGCTGGTAGTTCATGCCTATAATCCTAGCTAGTCAAGAGGCTGATATCTGAGGATCCTGGTTTGAAATGAGCCTGGGCAGGAAAGTCCATGTGACTCTTTATTTCCAATTAGCCACCAAAAAGACAGGTGTGACTCAAAATGATACAGTCTTGAGTTAAAAAAGCTAAAGGACAGCACCCAGACCCTGAGTTCATACCAACACACACACACACACACACACACAATTTTGTATTTAATCATAACTTAACAAAAAACAGAACATAGTTCAAGTGACGGTGGTAGAACACTCACATAGCTTACCTAGCAAGCACAAGACCCTAGGTTTAGTTCCCCAGTACTGAAGTAAATTTAAAAACAACAGACAACACATTGGTTACATGAAGCTAGAAAAAAAGAAGTTGAACACACTGTTGTACCTACCCAAGTCTTTCAAAATACATTGAGAACACAGACTTCTGCTGTAAGTACACAGGAACCTGATTAGCAAAAAAGGCAACTTTCCCTTTTTGTCCTTCTGGAAATTGTTTGAGATGATGTTCACAAATAAGAAGTGAAACGAAAGTTTTTCCACAACCTTTTACACAAGAAAAAAACATGTAATTACTATTACATTATATATTTCTGTAAAAAAAAAAAGGTATTTGTTTATTTGGGGCTCTACTGTCAGAATGACAAGTAAACTGGTTGTAAGTAATGGAACAGGCATACCAGTAGGAGCACATATTATTGTATTTTTTCCTTTCTTAGCAGGCAAAGCAAGCTCTAGTTGGTAATTTCGTGTTTTTAATGGGCTGTTCAAGTTGGTATGAGTCATATCTGTAATACAAAAGGAACAAAATTACCAAACCGTGTGTGCTCCAAGAACCAGGCAATAACAGTCTAGTAGACATCAATTCTGACTCATGCAAGGATCTCATGTGAAGGTTTTGGAATCTTGTCTCAATAACCATTCTAGTTTCTGCACTGATTCAAAGTACAGAATTCTCTCTCATCAGCAAAGTATCAGTGGCAAGAAGGGAAGAGAAGTCTTATTAAATTCATTCTTAAACAGTCATGAAAAAAAGAAAGTAAAGCAGGAATGGCCAAATTCAGGGCAAGGCAGTCGGCCACTGGCTATAAGCAAGACAATGCCCCATGGAGCAAAATAATAACTCTCATCAAGATCCTTGAAGGAAAGCAAATGCTTAATTTTGGATTCTCAAAGTAACTTCTTCATGAAGAATAACTATGCTCTATAATTCTTCAGGCTCTCAAATATTTTTTTAAAAAATTATCACTGGCTTTAAGCATATAAAAATGTTAAGAAAAGATTACCAAAGTAATCATCAAGGGAGTCTAAACTACCATTTTAAAGAACGGGAAAGTTTCTGGAAGGTTAGGAGAATTATCTTCATTTAAAAAATATATAAGGAGCTGTAAGCATCAGAAATATTAGACGCAAGCTATATTCATTGTTTAGTCTGTAATTTTAAAAAAGCCTTGTACGATTCCGTTGCAGAAGTAATCTATACATTCTCCTTTTATTTCATTTTTGTTTTGTTAGTGTTTTTGTTTTTTTGTTGGTCACGAGGCTTGAACTCTGTCCCTAAACTTTTTCACTCAAGACTAGTGCCCTACCACTTTGAGTCACAGCACCACTTCCAGTTTTCTGGTTAAGAGGAGATAAGAGTCTCAGACCTACCTACCCAGGCTGGCTTCAAACTGCAATTCTCAGATCTCAGCCTCCTGAGTAGCGAGGATTAAAGGTTTGAACCACTGGGGCCCAGCTTACATTCTCATTTTATTATGTTACATTTTTCTCCTCTGACACTACTCATTAGTAATCCTAATTTCCTTTCTGATAATCTTTTATAAATAACTATTTTATAAGGGCATGGCACACAACTTTCTGGTCTCACTGTGAAATATGCTCATTGCCTGACTTATGAAAAGGTAACCCTTGTACAACACTTTAATAACAACAGTAAAATTACATAAAAACACTTCTAAGTATACAGTAAGAGTCTGATACATTTCAGAATGTGAGCTACTATGGCTATGTTCTAACTAATTTAAGTCTGCTGAAGAAAGAAAGGAAGAAAGAAAGGGGAGGGGGGACCTCTCACAGCCGCAACTAAGTTCTACAGCAACCTCATGTGACTAAGAACAAGGCAGTGTGTGCACTTCAGCAACTGCCATGGCAACCATGGAAATCTTGGAGCAAATAAATGGCTCACTAATAAGAATATTTTAGAAACAAGGCTGCTTTGTGATCTCATAGCCACTGAGTGTCTGAAATTCCCTCATTTGATATCCACATACTGTCTTACTAACAAAACCAAACTTTTAGAAGAGAAGATAAAAGCAGAAGCAGCAGTCATGCAAGAAGGGATGCATATTTCTCATTATAAAATATCTATTTCTAACCCAAGTGCTCTTGTCTTTCTTAATTTCCCTTCCAAACCTTTTCACAAGGCTGATCAGACACTACCAAATCATGTTCTTCCACAAAACACCTGAAGGGCGCCATTGTGGAAAAGCACAAGCAATGTTAAGTACCTGAAGGTGGGCAGGAATTCTGACTAAGATTCAGGCAGTCTGGATCCTCCCGGAAGAAAATCTGTATGCTGGAAGCTTCTATTCTGTCATCTTCAACATCTTTCTGACCTTTATGAGACAAAATAATCTTAGAACTTTAAGGTAATCTGATCAGAGTTCTGGTTTAAAAAAAAAAAGAACTCAAAAACCCAACACTAAAAATTTAACTTTCCATTAAGATTTCTCACATTTACACCCTTAAAGGAATTATTTTGAGTTTAAAGTCTCCATTTGTATTTGAATTCCAATGTCATCCCAAACTCTTATTACTGCACGTGTGGAACATGAAGCCGGCAACTCTTCAGCTTGTAAATCCTGCAGAGCTGAAGCTCCATGTGAACAAGTCTCCAAGGGATTCAGATGAACATTACAGAAAAGGGGCTTGACATAGAAGACATGGGTGTTTTTCATCTCTGATTGACTTTTAACTCAAGAAATTAGAAATGTATTTATATAGATGGTTCCTTGATCAATTTTTGATTTGAAGAGTCTAGGTGAACTTTACACATGAGTACTAAAGTCAGCTATTTAAGCAAAGCTCTGAGAAGATGTGAACTTAAAGCCAAATGGTGGCTCAGACAGCCACAACAAATGATCCTGTCCCCTCTCTTCTGTTACGTTCCAGAGGGTTTCCATGGAAGAGAACCAAGCAAGAACTATCACTCTTGATATTGAGAGTCTATTCTGCACAGATGGTAAATTCTGATGTTTGAAGCTTGAACCCTAGAATTCTCAGGTGATTTCTAAATAACCTAAGTTCAAACTCTGCATGCCTTCAAATTCTCAGGGCTAATTCTGGATGATAATAATTTCCTTGGTCCATTCATAAGGAGTTATGAACAATCAAACTAATTCCACAGTCAAGTGCCCCCCTCACACCCAGAATGCTGGGCTGTTACTAAAGACGTTGCCTTGCATATATGAAGGAAAAACCTACTCTGATGGAACGTTAAAGTGGGTAGGAATGAGGCAAGCCCCAAGGAGAACCAAGAAGTGGGGAATGGGGGGAAATGAAAGCATGTTTCTAGAACATTCCTTTTATCCTCTTCAGAAGTCATTTTGGAATATCGTACCTTCCCCAACACACCACAGTTGACTAAATGTGTTCTCTTCTTTCTCCAAAGCAAGTTTCAAAATCTTGGGCCAGTTTTCTTTATCTGATCTGATAAGGCATTCAACCATTTTCTCTGCACCTGCCATCATTCCTTTATTGGAGCATATCTAAGCAAGGCAAATGCAGTGTATTGAGTAATCATTTCAACTGTTTTCCCTTTATTATTTTTTTCCACTAAAGAAATACCAATTCCAGTACTACCTAATTTGAAAGCATTCTAAATTATAGTCTAATGGGTATTCGTTACCCCCATTTTTGCCCCATCCTATACTGTTGTAAGGTACGCCTGCCTTCATCTTTGTCCTTCACACACATCATTAGTCAAGCCAAGTCTTCTCATCTTCTGTTTATACACACTGCCATCAGCAATATATGGAAAAAATCAGTCCATTTGTTAACTATTCATAATACAGATATATTATTGTTGGGAAAAAGAAAATGGAAGAATGGCAAATCTGTGAGATTGGAATATATTGTAAACATATGTGGAAATATAACAGTGATATCCTTCCTGTATAACAGTTAGCTAATAAAAATGCTTAATATATCAATAGATAGATAGATAGATGATATATTGCATACAGAGATATTTGGCAGGATGTAACAAAACATTAACTAATGTTTTGCAGAGTGGAGGGATTTGTGTGACTTATTACTGACCATAATAAAATTCATTGTGTACAGTTTATTATATACCAGCCTTATGTACGTTGTTTCATATATGACCTCATTTAACCCTTTAAAAGAATATTAACAAAATACAACCTTTTTTCCCAGCTTATATATAAAAAAACAAATGCTTAAAGAAATTAAGTGAGGGGCTGGGAGGGTGGCTCAGTGGTAGAGTGCTTGCCTTGCATGCACAAGGTCCTGGGTTTGATTTCTCAACACCACATAAGCAGAAAAAGCCAGAAGTGGTGCTGTGGCTCAAGTGGTAGAGTGCTAGCCTTGAGCTAAGAGCCCAGCAACAGAGTCCAGGCCAGAGCTCAGGCCCCACTAGGACAGAAAAAAAAAAGAAGGGACTAGGAAGGTGGCTCAGTGGTAGAGTGTTTGCCTTGCATGCATAAGGCCCTGGATTCAATTCCTCAGCACCACATAAGCAGAAAAAGTTGGAAGTGGCTCTGTGGCTCAAGTGGTAGAGCACTAGCCTTGAGCTGAAGAGCTGAGGGACAGCGCCAGGCCCAGAGTTCAGGCCCCATGACCATCAAGAAAAGAAAGAAAGAGAGAGGGGGGGGGAGGGAGGGAGGGAGGGAAAGGAAGGAAGGAAGGATGGAAGGAAGGAAGGAAGGAAGGAAGGAAAGAAAGAAAGAAGGGAGGGAGGGAGGGAGGGAGGGAGGGAGGAAAGGAAGGAAGGAAAGAAAAGAAAGTAAAGGAAGGAAGGAAGGAAGGAAGAGAATGGAAAGAAGGAAAAAAGCAGAGAGAAAGAGAGAGAGAGAAATTAAGTGAATTGTCCTGGATCACATCACTTTAGTAAGTGGTGAGCTAGCATTTTAGCAAATTTTACCTGTGTATGAGAGTTAAAAGTTTAACTCTAGTTTATTTGCTTTTTTCTTTTCATTTGCTGACTGTTTGACTTTAGTTAAGTTTGAGTAAAATCTTAACTCAGAAAGGCAAGACAGTAACTTTAACTGAAAATAGATTAAACTTGAAAAACTAACAAAAATTACTATAATTTACATGAAAATAATGGATAAGATATAAATGCTTTTTATTAAAAACAGTAGAGGTCCAAAACAGTAGAGAAAACAGAAGACATTTCTCATATTCTAATCATTGTCCTAAATTTAGTGTTTTATGAAAACTTACCTGTTTAATTTCTTCACATTCCTGACTAATTAAACATTCTGACATATCAGAGAGGATATCTGTTGGAATAATTCTGTCCTTAAATTCGGGTTGTAAACGTCTTAAAAGAGATCTATGCTCCTCTAACTTTTCAATTTTTTGGAAATCCCAAGTTTCAATGGCTTCATAAAGTCCAGAATAACCTGAACAGAAAGAAAACAGGATGTTTATGAGACTAAAGAAGAAATACTTAGACATCAATATCACAGAAATCACGCTTGATAGATAGATAGATATAGACATATGTATATATGTGTCTGTACATATATATTTGTGTGTGTATAACCAAAGCAAACATAAAGAAGCTTCTGTGAGCAGAAATGGCTGAGATGAGAAATCCCTGGGATTCTGTTAAAAGAATCTCAGAGTGATACCTGTATACGGATCTTTACATTCAAAACAAAGTACGAGAAATATAATCAGAAACAGATAATGGTATTATAATGCATCTGTTTTCAGAAAATACCACTGTCTCTAATGGTGACAGTTCAGCAGTATGTGCATACAATTTTCACAACATGTTTCATTATAATTGAAGTTTATGTGTTTTTGTTTTTGTTTTTGTCAGTCATGGGGCTTGAACTCTGGGCCTGGGCGCTGTCCCTTAGCTCTTCAGCTCAAGGTGAGCTCTCTACCACTTAAGCCACAGCACCACTTCCGGTTTTCTGAATGTTTTATTGGAGATAAGAGTCTCACGGACGTTCCTTCCCAGGCTGGCTTTGAACTGCGATCCTCAGATATCAGCTTCCTGAGTAGCTAGGATTACAGTCGTGAGCCACTGGCACCCTGCTCAAGTTTGTGTGTTTTTAGAAGACATTTTTTAAACAAATCATATGTAGAAAGTTCAGAGGAAAGCAGTAATGATTAGTAAATAGAAGATGTGCAACAGTAAGTTTATTGTGGTTTAAAAAAAACCCAAAACCTAACAAGAGGATGTGAAGCACTGCGGGGTCTCAGGCGAAGGTGGGCTGCAGGTGGGTGGAAGCCACCTCGGAGCAGCACCTGGAGGACATGATGAAGAATCTGTCCATTGTTGGAGTCGTGGGCACAGATTCACAAGGACTTAATCTGGGCTGCTGGAGTACTCTGTCAGATGAACATGCTGGAATTATATCTGTTCTTTCCCAGCAAGCAGCTAAGCTAACTTCTGACCCCCACTGATAGTCCTGTGGTACGTCTACAATCGGATAATGGGAACATTATAAACCAAAAAACATGATGGCAGGACAATGGCAGGGCACAAAATGGCTTCGACATCTGACAGCTGTTTTCTGTCATAGGGATTCATCCTATCTATGCTAATTACCTTGTAAAACTATTGACGTTCCAATGGTTAGATCATTCACTTAATACACTTCGGGCATTTTTCTATTTATATAAGTTGCTTTTAAACAAATCTCTCAAAGGCTGGGAAGGTGGCTCAGTTGTAGAGCACTTGCCTTGCATGCCTGAGGCCCTGGGTTCGATTCCTCAGCACCACATAAGCAAAAAGAAAAAAAGCTGGAAGTGGCGCTGTGACTCAAGTGGTAGAGCACTAGCCTTGAGCTGAAGAGCTGAGAGACAGTGCCCAGGCCCAGAGTTCAGGCCCATGACTGGACCCCCCCCCCCCAAAAAAAAAAAACCTCTCAAGATGTCAGTAAGATCATGTTTTTCTTTTTTTGGTGCTGGTACTGGGACTTGAGCTCAGTCCCCGAGCTTTTTCATGCTCAAGGCCAGCTCTCTACCACTTGAGCCACAGCTCCACTTCTCGCTTCTTTTGTGGTAGTTTATTGGAAATAAGAGTGTCACAGACTTTCCTGCTAAGGCTGGCTTCAAACTGCAATGCTCAGACCTTGGCTTCCTGAGTAGCTAGGAGTAAGTACAGGTATGAGCCACTGGTGCCTAGCTAAGAAAGGATCATCTTTTTAACTGTAACCCCTCTGTACAGTATTATTACAATAAAAAATGGACAAAAAGAAAGAAAGGATCATGTTTTGAAGCATGTTTGTGTCCAAAGATAATACAGATGCAGTAAGGAAAAAAGCATTTTCAGCAAGAAGAAATGCTATGACAATACAAACCAAAATGAGTATTTATGTAATAGCAAGTGATTTAGTTTGATTAGGTAGGCAAAAGGTAAACAATTGGGTCCAGGTTACCTTGGCTATAGAATTTTCTATATACAATTAAAAAAAAAAAACTCTATTTGGAGGAATAAAATAAAATAAAACATAACATGAAATTTATCATCCTAACCATTTTTAGACGGACTACCAAATGTTAAATAAATTCATTGTTGTGAAACAGAGCCCTAGAACTTATAAGCCTTGTAAAACTGGAACTCTACACCTATAAACAGTAACTCCCTTTCCCTGTTCCCCAACCTTCTGAAAGCTACCTTTTTCTGTTTCTACAAAAGATCAAATTAAATTGTTCATACAGAATCATGCATGATATCTGCTTTACTGAGATTGTTATTTTAATTAATGTAATGTCCTAGGTTCATGTATGTTGTATCTTATGATAAGATTTTTTATTTTCTTAAGCTAAAATAATATTCCATTGCACTTTTGCTTTTATTGTTTATGACTCTGGCATCATACCTAAGAACTCACTGCCAAGTCTAAGGTCATGGTAGGCTTTTTTTCTACTTATGTAAGACTTTTATAGCTTTGTTTTATGTTCAGGTCCTTGGGGTATTGTGGCAATTGCAAGGTTATAATTCTTCCATAAACATTTTAGAACCAGATTGTCAATCTCATTGAGAAGGCATATAGAATCTAATTCAATTGTACTAAATATAGAGAACAATGTAAGGAAAATCAATATTTGTATAATACCAGCTTTTCCTACCCATGTGCACAAGTATGACTCTCTACTGAGGATTTCTTTATTATTTCTCACTAACATTTTATCATTTTCTCCATTCACACTGTGCACATTTTTTAGACTTAAGATTTGTAAGTATATTTCATTTTCTTTGTATTGTTATAAACAGCATTTCAAACCAGGTGCTGGTGCTCATGTTTGTAATCCTAACTACTCAGGAGGCCTAAGATCTGAGGGGAAAAAAAAGGAAAGCCCAAGAAAGAAAAGTACATGAGATTTTTATTTTTATTTTTACCACTCCTGGGGCTTGAACTCAGGGCCTGGGTACTACTCAAGGTTAGCATTCTACCACTTGAACCACAGCGCTACTTCCAGCTTTTTCTTTTACACGGTACTAAGGAATTGACCCAGGGATTCATGCATGCTAGGCAAGCACTCTACCACTAAGCCACACTCCCAGCCCCCATGAGATTTTTATCTCCAATCCATCACCATAAAAGCCAAAAGTGGAGTTGTGGCTAGTTTTGAGCATAAAAGCTCAAGGATAGCATTCAGGCCCTGAATTCAAGCCCCAGGACCAGCACTAAATAAATAAATAAATAAATGGTGTTTTGTATTATATTTTTCTGTTTGTCTGCATAGGATAGAAATACAACTAGGTTTTGTATACTGATTCAACATTCCACAATCTTGTTCACCTTTTCCACTGGTTATCGTAATTTCTCTATATTTCTATTTGAGACTAAGAGGAACTATATGTGAATACTTCAAAATTAGTAGCTTTTTTTCCATCTCTAGTAGTCTACCATAGCAAAGCAATAAACGTTGATTTGTGAGCAGGAACTAACCTGCTTGGAATAGAGCATCCAAAAATCCACGAAACCAGCCTTCTTCCTTGAGGTTCAACAGGAACTCGAGAAAAAGTGAGGCAGCCTCCATCGGGCCTTTACTGTCTTTCTGAGCCTGAATATACTGCATCTGATCTACAAACAGAAACACAAATAACTCATGGGGCTACAGAACTGTACTAGTCAATGGAAGAAAAGCCAGAAAAGGGGTGTCAGGCATTCCAAATGGAATGGGAGCTGTAACAAGTACTGCCTTGGCAGAAACTTCAGGAGAGCAGCAGATTCTCTGCCCAAGTGACCATGCCCATTCTTCAGCCACACGCCCTGCCCATCGTCGACAGAACCTGCTCACTTGGTGTGCAAGTCAGAGAGCCCACTCTATGAAAAAGTCTCCCCCCAACAAGGGAGAAGTCACAGTAGCACTGGTTATAAAAGGTCAGTATCGGGGCTGGGATGCAGCTCAGTGACAAAATGTTTGTTGAGCAAAGGCAACATCCTGGGCTTGATCTTCAGTACCAAAAAAGGAAACACACACACACAAACACACACACACACACACACACACACACAAAATAATAGTTTTTAAAAAACTATCAGTGTAAAACACTTGTACATGTACATGAAGAAGTCTTTTTTTTTTAATCCTTAAATCACACCAAAAAATTCCTTAAAATCTATTGTACATAGTAATATCTTTCTGGGTATCTAATTCTATATAAATATGTACTTTTAAAAAAAAAACAATCCTTCAAATCTTTCCCCTTTCATTCATTAATGTATCATAGATGTTGTTCCCCATAAACACATATAGATCTACATCAACATCTACTGGCTGTATAACTTGAGATCACATACATGTATTTAATCTATTCCTTAGTAATACGGAACTACTATGTGTGTTTCATACAGAGACATCTATACCTGCTTTACCAAGTTTTCCTGTCGCAAGCATAATTTATGCATTAAACAGTATACATATATTTATGCTGATACATACTTTAGAAGAGCCTTTCAGAGGAGCTTAACTATTTATCATCTATGAACAATGTATCAGTGCTGGGCACCAGTGGTTCACACCTGCTACTCGGGAGGCTGAGATCTGACTGTTGTGATTCAAAGCCAGCCTAGGAAGAAAATTCTATGAGATTCTTATCTCTAACCAGAAAAAAAAAAACAAAAAACAGAAGTTGAGGTGGCTCAAGTATTAAATCTCTAGCCTTGACTGAAAATGCTAAAGGACAGTGCTGAGGACTGAGTTCAGGCTCCATTACTGACAAATACAAAAAGTATTAGTGACTATTTCCCTCTAGACATTGCACTTGCACAAACTTTATCTTTGCAAAATAAAACAAAAAACAGACCAACCAAATTTCTTTGCTTTTCATGATTTCTTTTTTTTTATTGTGAAAAATACCGTACAGAGGGGTTACAATTACATGAGCAAGGTAATGAGTACATATCTTATCAAGCATTATTGCCTTCTCCTTTGTTTCCCCTTACTATCCCATCCCATATTCGGCCCCCTCCATGCCCCAAAGTTGTAAAGTTCGTTTTTCAACATAACAACTTGTATATCTCATTGTTGCAATGGGTCCACCTGTATCCCTATTTAAACGGTTTGTTTTGTCCCTTCCCCTCCACAAATTATACCAACATCAAATACAGTGAAAGCAGGGGTAATACCGTGGGGGAGGGACATACAAAGCAACAAAGAAATATCTTATAAATGTGTTAGAAACAATAGCAAGCAAGAAAAAACATTTGAGCCTTTATCTTGGGATTCATTTCACCTAACATCAACTTACCTGACCGTGTCTGCTTGTTTCAGACATATACTAGTTATTGCAAATAAGGGAAACCATGGGAAAGAAACCATGTTTCTTTGGGCCTGGCTTACTTCACTTAATATAATTTTTTCCAAGTCTTTCCATTTCCTAACAAATGGGGCAATGTCATTCTTTCTGATGGAGGCATAGAATTCCATTGTGTGTGTGTGTGTGTGTGTGTGTGTGTGTGTGTGTGTGTGTCTGTGTGTGTGTGTGTGTGTCTGTGTGTGTCTGTGTCTGTGTGTATACCACATTTTCTTTTTCTTTTTTCTTTTTGTCGGTCGTGGGGCTTGAACTCTGGGCCTATGCGCTGTCCCTCCCTCAGCTCTTCAGCTCAAGGCTAGTGCTCTACCACTTGAGCTACAGGGCCACTTCCACTTTTCTGGTGGTTTATTGGAAATAAGAGTTTCACGGACTTTCCTGCCTGGGCTGGCTTTGAACTGAGATCCTCAGATCTTAGCCTCCTGAGTAGCTAAGATTACAGGTGTGAGCCACCGGCGCCTGGCTCATACCACATTTTCTTGATCCATTCATCTACTGAGGGGCATCTGGGTTGGTTCCATATCTTAGCTATGGTGAATAATGCTGCAATAAACATAGTTGTGCTGGTAGCTTTAGTATGGTCTTGTTTGTGATCATTTGGGTAAATGCCCAAAAGTGGGATTGCTGGGTCATAGGGGAGCTCTATGTGGTGTCTTTTGAGGAACCTCCATACTACTTTCCAAAGTGATTGAACAAGTTTACACTCCCACCAACAATGCAGTAAGGTTCTCTTCTGTCCACATCCCCTCCAGCATCTGTTGTTATTTAGAGTTCTTGATTATAGCCATCTCTAACTGGGGTGAGGTTGTTTTGATTTGCATTTCTAGAGGTTAAGCATTTCTTCATGTGTCTATTGGCCATCCTTCTTTCCTCTTCAGAGAAGTTTCTCTTTAAGTCTTTAGCCCACTTATTTATTGGGCAGTTGTTTCTTTGAGGATTTAATATTTTGAGTTCCAGGTATATTTTAGATATGAGACCCTTGTTCGTTGTACGGCTAGTGAAGATCTTCTCCCAATCCGTGGGCTTTCTATTGACCTTGCTAGCTATGTCCTTTGCCTTGCAGAAGCTCTGCAATTTCATGCAGTCCCATTTGTCCAACCTTTCTTTGATTTGTTGTGTTTCTGGGTCTCTATTAAGAAAATTTTGGCCTGTGCTAGGGAGACCTAGGGTTTCTCCTATGCCATCCTGTAATGTTTTCAGAGTTTCTGCTTTGACTCCAAAGTCTTTGCTTTTCCTGATTTCTTGTTTCCTCCTATGTATTTCTTTTCCTTTTTAAGTATATTTTCTGCTTGGCTACTCTTCTGGAGAAGTTACTCATCCTTTTTCTGAAGTAGATTTGTAAAGATACTTTGCACCTCAGGGAAATGTTGTATTTGCTAAGTGGTTTTCCTGGAACAGGAAAAGGTAATTTTTAAACATCTATTCCAATAAGACTGAGTTTCAATATTTTGAGAAGATTTTTTGGCTTTGTTCTTTATTTTAGCTTTTCCTTTCTTTGATGTTTTTTATTGCTATTTTATTATTTTTGACTGCTATTTTAGTTGTTGATGGTTTTTTCTATAATTGAGTAAGATTAATTAATTAATTACTTTCATTCCTTTGAAGTGTCAATCAATCCATTTAGGCTATGAATTTTCCTGATGAGAAGCTTTAGCTGTATCTTAAAGTGTGCAAAATGTGGGTGATTGCTATCTTTACTTTAAAAGTATCTGTTTTGACTTTCTCTTTTAGCTAAGAGTAAAAATATGCTATTTTAAAATTATTTGACAACTTTGAGTCAATGATTAATTTCCATAATATAAATTAATAATTAACAGTTATTTAGTACATGTAACTTAATCTCTCCCAAACCCCAAATCTGATCATTAGTCTTATCTTACAGATGAGGAAACTGAGCCAGTAGACTTACAAGCTATGCTTTGGGAATTTACTAAAGATTTATCTGTAATCTAATATAGGATCTAATATTTCAGAAATCTCCTTGAGAATTAGAGGAGTAGGATATAGTCTGTTTATACTGTTTAAAATTGACATAGTCATTTAAATCCACATCATTTAAATATTATAATGATCTGGCTTAATAATACAAATAAAATGCATTATAATTCCTGAATTTCTTGAAATTTACAGATTTTTTTTCTTATATGTAATGCATGGACTTGTATGTACCATAGCTTCATTGTAAACTAGATATTCCTTTTATCTTAATGGTTTATATCCCTGCAATACTTTTTTTAGTGCTAAAATTATACTTCTGGCTAGGTGCCAGTGGTTCACTCCTGAAATCCTAGTTACTCAGGAAGCTGAGATCTGAGATTTTGGTTCAAAGCCAGCCCAGGCAGGAAACTGTGTAATACTTTTTTTTTGGGGGGGGGTCCAGTTGTGGGGCCTGAACTCTGGGCCTGAGCACTGTCCCTCAGCTCTTCAGCTCAAGGCTAGTGCTCTACCACTTGAGCCACAGCACCACTTCCAGCTTTTTTCTTTTTGCTTATGTGGTGCTAAGGAATCAAACCCAGGGCCTCAGGCATGCAAAGCAAGTGCTCTACCACTGAGCCACCTTCCCAGCCCCCTGTAAGACTTTTATCTCCAATTAGCCACCAGAAAACTAGAAGTGGAGCTGTGACTCAAAGAGGTAGAGTGCTAGCCTTGAGCAAATAGGTTCAGGGACAGAAACTCGGACCTTAACTTCAATATACAACAATATACAACAACAACAAAGAGTACAATGGTATTTTCAGTCTCTTCCTGTCTGAGGCAAGGAGTTTTACATTTATTTATCATTACATTCCCTAGCCCTTTGATGACTTATTTTAAAATCCAAATTTTTCCTTTAACATCATTATATGTTTAACTATAAATTCACTTCTTCAAAACAATGTTTGGCTGTTGCATTTACTTTTATTGGCACATTTATAACGTTATTTGAAATTAACTCTACATGTCTGGTTTTGACACTGATTAGCAGGCCTTATATTCTAAGGCCACACTTTAATTAACTATTATTAATTTGTGGGGGCTTTCAATTGCTTGCAATTCTGTCTCAAGTACTTTTCATAGGGAATTAATCTGGAATAACTTATTTACAACAATGTTTTCTTTCTCACACATATAAAAAGCTGGCAAAACACAAAAGCTGGGAGATTGTATTATTCTCAGAACATGCTGAGTTTGTTGCCTAATTATGTAGTTGTCTGCATAGTTTAGAGCAACTTGATACTGGTTCCATTATAAGAGATCACAGGGGCTGGGAAGGTTGCTCAGTGGCAGAGTGCTTGCCTTGCATGCATGAGGCCCTGGGTTCGATTCCTCAGCACCACATAAGCAGAAAAAGCCGGAAGTGGTGCTATGGCTTAAGTGGTAGAGCGCTAGCCTTGAGTTGAACAGCTGAGGGACAGCACCCAGGCCCAGAGTTCAGGCCCCACAACAGGACCCAAAAAAAAAAAAAAAAAAAGAGATCACAGTCACCTTGTTTTTCTAGAATGCTTATTTCTTGACCTCAGAAATATGAAAATTGGGATGAATGAGCTAGAAATGTGAAAAGAATGATATTGGTCAAGATGCCTTGTACTCAAAAATTGATATGTTGAATGAACCCTTTGTACAACTACTTAAAGATAATAAAAAAATTAAGTACGAAAATCCCACCAGTGTGTATAGAGAGAAATGATTCTCTTGTCAGAAAACTCATAAGAAACAAGCTGTTTCTTTCTATTGCTCTTTACCTTTCTTATGTTCTCTTCTTCATTGTACCCAAACTGCACAGCTGGATTTGAGTGAACATGTTAGTCAGCATGGCCTCTGTTGGTATTTGGCAACCATGTTTTCAAAAGAATTCTCTACATTCATTTTCCTCAGCCCATTATCAACCTTCACCCACAAAACACACACACACACACACACACACACACACACACACACACACACACACACAAATTTTAAAAAACAACAACAACAGGAGCTGATCCCTCAAATGGCCTCAAAGGTCTACAATGCCAAAGTCAACCATTTACGCTGTAGTTGTTTGTTTCTCATGTTGTCTTTGTTCTCAACATTCAACCCCCATCCACTTCCTTCTTCTCCCATGGTTTCCAATTCCTCCAGATCCCATTCTCTCTGTTTGTCTCATTATTGATGGGCTTCTCAGGCTCCTGTCCCAAGCTCTTTCTACTCACCACTGAATGGGTGAGCAAAGATCTCTCTCTACATGAAGATTTCCTCAACCATACAGCTGTACCCCTAGGCCTAGCCCTAATACAGCCAACAATCTGATGATTACCTCTTCTGGATGCATCCAAAGTACATCAGAACCCTTCATCTTCTACTGCAAACCTGTCCCACCTCCAGTACTTCCTGTCTCAGAAACCATTCATTCATTCATTCATTCATAAACCTAAGCTAGGGACTACCTACTTACCCTGAAAACCTCCCTCTTGATTTCTGTTCTCTTAACAAGGCTCTCTGTCTCCAGGGAAGAAGTTTGCAGTTTGGGTTGGTGGTGTTTTGTTTGGTTTTGTGACAGGATCTCTCTGTGTAGTCCAGGCGGGCGTGGAACTTGAGCTCATCCTGTCTCAGTATTCCAAGAGTTGTGATTACAGGCCTGCACCGGGACACAGCAGGCTCTAGTCTACCACTTCACTATCCTGGAATTTCTGCATCTGCTACTCCATCTCTTCTTAATCCAGAATCTACCCAGTCCATGCTTCAAAAAGACTATGTTATTTTTCTGTGATGCAAATTCAATTTTGCCTCATTTGTTTAGTAGATACATCTCTAAACTTGACATTCCTCACTTTTACCTATCTCTTAAATCTCATTCTGCCAACCAGACCTTCCTCTCCACATTTACTCTGAAGTAATGCTGGAATCCTGGAACCTGTCAGTCCACCTTTCACCTTTGTCCTTTTCACATCAGCAGCTTTCTACCTGCAATAGCTTGTCTCCTTCTAGACGACTCTCATTCCTACCTTCAAACTCAGTTCAAATGCCACAAATCTTAAAAGCAATGCCTGGGCCCTCCAGACCAAGTAGATATTCCAGCTATGTGCCCCATGACCCAGTACCCTATGGTTTCCAACAAAGCATTTTCTTGATAACATCATTTAGTTACATGCCTGCACACATGCTCTCCGAGAGGACAGGGACCACTCTGTTGTGCTCATTATCTATTTATCCATTAGCTCTTAGCATGACATTTTCCAATAGTAAACACTCCAACTCTTAAGTAATGTCTGACACAAGTTGTTTATTTTACACAGTGAGTACATTAAAGAATAGGAGTCATACTAGTGTGCTAATGTTTCACCCAGGGATTTCTGAGATGTATCTCACATGAACTTACAGTCTTCAGGAGCCTGAACTACTCTGATTAAGATGTTATTTCTCTCTGGACACAACTAGAAATTTTGTTAGCAGTGTGTGTGTGTGTGTGTGTTTGTGCGCACACGTGCGCGCACGCTGTTCCTGGGTCTTGAACTCAGAGCCTATGCACTATCCCTAAGCTTTTCTGCTCAAAGCTAGCACTCTCTACCACTTGAACTACAGCTCCACTTATGGTACTCTTCTTTCACTCCTTGCTCCACATGCTATAGTTTGGTTTTGGAAGGCTGTTAAGCATCCAAATTACCTGCCTTGTTCTTGATGCAATTAATCAGAACATTCAAGCACTTGGAGACTTAAAAGGAACTGCCAGATTCCCTCTCTCACCTGGACGCCTTCCAAGAGCCACCTCCAGTTTCCTCAAGGGAAGCCTCTACTTATGCATCTCCAGCAGAAAGCCCACTCAACAGAACTTACAAAGTGGCTGCCATCCACAGAAACGGGTGTAGTGAAGCCTCCACACGTTCAGTCTGGGGAGAGTTTGGAAGTCCTAGCAGGTTTTGCAGCAGCTTACTTGTAGTTCGAACATCATTTTGTCCAAATTATTTGTATTTATTTTTGGTCCTGGCCTTCAGTGCCGCCCCTTCTCGGCCCCTCCAAAGCCTTGGGCTGTAAAGTATATGCTAGGTGGGCTCTGATTTTTGCTCTCATTTTTTTGTGCCAATCCTGAGGCTTAAACTCTTGGTCTGAACTTTTTTTCTCTCTCTCTCTTAAGGCTAGCTAGCACTCTACTACTTGCGCCACAGCTCTTTCTACTCCTGGCTTCTTTTGGTGGTTTAATTGGAGGTAAGAGTATCAGAGACTTTCCTGCCTGGACTAGCTTTGAACCCTGATCCTAAAATCTCAGCCTCCTGAGTAGGTAGAATCACAGTCGTGAAGCATCATCGGTGCCTTGGCAAAGGCTCTGATGCCCCCCCCACACACACACACAGTGGAAATAAATGAAACAAACCATTTCTTCCCCCAGCTTGGAGCCCGCGGCCACATCTGAGGGGCTCCTGGAGCCGAGGCTGCGCACTGGCCACACGCCCCGGCTCCACTGACCAGGCAGGGAAGACGAGGGGAAGGGGTGCTGCGCAGGCCCTCGGAGTGGCCCGTCCGGGGGACACTCACCCTCCCCCAGCCAGGGGGCCATGTAGGCCAGGATGTAGGTGGGGTCCAGAGTCTTCCGGACGTAGTCGTGGAAGGCCCGCAGGTTTCGCCGCTGCTCCGCAGTCATGCCGGCCGGGTGCCCAGCGCCGTCTCCGCCCGACAGCTCCCGGGCTTACTTAAGGCTGGGGGCCGGGGGAGGCGGGGCCTGCCGGGAAATCCGTCCGAGGCCGTCCAGACTCAGGCCTCGAACTTGAGCTACTTGCGGCGGACAAATGGAAACTGAAACTTGGGGCGGGCAGGGAGGGAAGCGCCCGCCCCTGCGCCCAGCATCTCGGTTTCCAGTTTCGGTTTCCCACCGCGCAGCCAGCCCGGTCCCCGGAGGGCAGGGCGCGCCCCGGGACGGCCCCGGGGTTCGGTGGAGCGCAGCACCGCGCGCACCGTTCAGTGTACAGCGCGACGACGCTCCACTTTTCCCACATCAGCTGGGCCTGTGTGCGTCCCAGAACACAACACACCCACTATTCACACACACAGGGCTTCCTTTAATAATAATAATAATAATATGTGCCTTACTGAGGCTTGAACTCAAGGCCTCTCTCGGCTTTCTCTGCTCAAGTCCCAGTACTGGCAAAAGAAAATGAAAAAAAATCCAAACCATCAACATGGGAGCCAGGAGCCTCGGCTTAAGCCTGTTATCCTGAGGCAGAGACAGGGAGATTTTGATTTAATGCCACTCTAGGCCATAAATATTTTTTAAAAAAGAAAATATAACAAATCCCATCATTTTGTACCATGTTTGCTAACAATAAATACGAAAACTAGTAGAAATGCAATTGTCTTTTATTTCTTGGCCGACATGCAACACTGATAAATTGACTTCTTAGCAATTGTTCAGCAGTTTCTTAAAATTTGCTGGTAAATAATCATGTCATTTGTGAATAAAGTTTTATTTTTTCCTTGGGTATCTCTATGACTTTTTCATTGTCTTTCATTCTAGTCTCACTTATTTGTTCCCAGTCATCATGCAGTTTCTTCCATTTCCTTTCCTTATTGCAATATGTAGGGAATCTAAATAACAAATAACAGAGGTGAGAGTGACACTCCTACTTCATTACAGATCTCAGTTAGCGATCTGAGGGTACATAGCTCCCATGGTAGCAAGGTGGTCCTGAGTTCAATCCACAATACAGGGGGTGGGGAGGACTTTAAGGGATTGTTAATAATGTCTGAAAACAAACTTTGCTTTCAACAATACATTCATACCCTATTCTGATAAATCTGATCTTCAATTTACAAACCAGATTTTAGCATTATCAGTTCATAGGTATGTCTAAGTTAATCTGCAGGGGCAGAGCCCTTCCCTTTGGTGTTCAAAGCCTGAGTTCAAACCACATTATCATTAAAAAAATAATCTATGGGAAAATGATCAGTGTTTCACTTTTTATGTTCTTTGGTGCTGACCTGGGGCGTGAAATCAGAGCCTGTTCCTTAACTTCTTTTACTCAAGGCTAGCAATCTACCACATATGCTATAGCTCCACTTCTTTTTTTGAGTAGTGTACTGGAGATGAAAGTCTCACAGACACTCCTGCCCAGGCTGGCTTCAAACTATGATCCTCAGATCTCAGCCTCCTCAATTGCTGGGATTACAGGCATGAGCCACGGGCACCAGGCTCAATCTTTCATATTGTGATGCTGGCTGTAGATTTCCTTACATGTTCTTTACCAGATTAACACATTTATTTCTGGTTTGTTGAGATTTTTGTCATGTATTGAAATTGAGGTGGGTGGTCATCTGTTCCACTAACATGGAATTATATTGATTCTTGAATCTGAAGCCAACCTAGCATTCCTGGGATAAATTCCACTCAGTTATGAAATGCTATCTTCTGATTCAATTTTCTAGAACTTTTGTTCTGATGTGTTCACAAGGGATATTAGACTAAAATTTTCTTGTAATCCTTTTGTCAGCGTTGGAATTTGAATTCAAAGCCTTGCACTTGCGAGGGAGGCATTCTACCACTTGAGCAACTCCCCCAGCCCTTTTTTGTGTGTATGTGTGTGTGTGTGTGTGTGTGTGTGTGTTTTGAGACGGTGATCCTGTTTGTCCTCTCCTATGTTGCTGGAAAGATAGGCATGTGTCCCTGCATCCTACTGCTGTCCTCCTAAAAATGGAGTTTTGTTTTTTTTTTGGGGGGGGGGTCTGGTCGAGGGCCTGAACTCTGGGCCTGGGCACTGTCCCTCAGCTCTTCAGCTCAAGGCTAGTGCTCTACCACTTGAGCCACAGTGCCACTTCGTTTTTTTTTTTTTTTCTGCTCAAGAATTGAACCCAGGGCCTCATGCATGCAAGGCAAGCATTCTACCACTGAGCCACCTTCCCAGCCCCCACAATGGAGTTTTATGAACTATTTTTTCCCAGGCTGACCTAAAACTAGACTTCTCCCTCTTCACCTCTGAATTAACTAAGACTACAGACTTAAGCCACCATACCCACATCATTATTAGGTATTAAGGTCAGGGTTATACTGGCCATCATGAAACAAGAATTTGTGCAAGACTAGTATCATTTCTCCCTGAAATATTTTAACAAAATTCACCAATAAAATTAGGTGGGCTTAGAATTTTCTCTGCTGGGAGATTCCCTATCATGAATTCAATTGTTTTATTAAATATAAGGCTGTTCTGATTTTCTGATTTTTTAAAAATTCATCTTGAATCTCTTTGGTAAGTTATGTTTCTAATGTCTTGTAAGCAAACAAGCTCAACCAACCATATGTGGACAACTGGGCATTAGCTACATTGCATTGAACTTCTCACTTGGATAGTTCAAATAATGTAATTGCACAAACTTTAACAAGCAAATAATTTGCTTCCAGGTTGACTCTTGCCTCCCTCACCCCGAGCCCTCCAGCCTCCCTCACTTCAGGCTTACAGCTTCCCCACTGACAAATCTGCTTAAACAAACACTTTAACATTTTAATGTGTCAAGTGTGATCTTTCAACATAATGCATTTTAGCATTTTCTCTCAATTATTAAATTTGTCTAAGGTCTTCATTATAGATATGTATATATATATACACACACACACAAATATATGTATTTACACACATATATATGTATTTACACACATATATATGTATTTACACACATATATACTGTCCTGAGACAGGACTACCTGACATTTTTGCTCAGCTAGCTGCCACCAACTGAGCCATGCCTACAACCCCTTTATTATCTTTTCATCTTAAAAGGCCAGTCTTGGAAGAAGGGCTGTGGTGTTTTCTTCCTTGTGCCACATAAATCTTTCTCTCACTGTAACTCATCTCTTTTATTTGACATGAAGTCAAATGGCCAGACCTGACCTGTGGAACCCCAAGAGTTTGGATCTGAGACCTCAAGCTACAGTTTCAGATTAAGCCAGCTATAATAGGAGGAAATAAACCTTTTAGTTGTTAGCTACTTACAGGGAGTCAATATCAGATGGAAACACTGAATTGGCTCCTTGCAGCTGACAAAATTACCTTTATTTCAGAGTACTTTCCTTATCTTTCCACTTCAGCTAGCAGTAGAAGAAAAACAAACATTAGGACTATGGGGGCCAGAAGCCTGACCTTTGGTCAGTTCTCCTTGCATCTTAGGCTTCCTTCCTTTTCCTTGATGTCAGGTGGCTCTTTGGGGCTAGTGGGGTTCATCTGAACTAATGTGGGCTCTTGCTATTTGTGACAGGGAATCTGGATGCCTTTTGGAGATTCTTCAGAACACTTGGCTTCATGTGCCATTTGTGATAAGGGATATGAGGTACACTGAGAAAGCTGTTTGTATTTGAGATCTCTCTTGTGATATGCTAGAGTGAAAAGCACTGTCTGTATCCGTCTCAAGAGAATTCGGTCTAGTCTACTATGAAGAGGAAGAAGGGAAAAGGTAGAGTAGGAGGTGAAAACAAGGCAAAAGGATGATTTATCTAAGAACATACTCTGAATTGTTTCAAATGTGTCCATTTGCATATATTGTCAATGTTGCCTTCGAGTATATTGTCTTGATCCACGCTTACGTACAAGTTTATCTCATACAAGCTTCTGTCACTACCTGGGTCTCAGTATGTAACCCATAGTGGCCTTGAATATTCAGATCTTCCTGTCCTAGCCTTCCAAGTGTAGGGTTTAAGCATCTAGGTAAGAAGCTATAGCACTAATCCAAATGAGAAGTGGTGGATGAGAATTGTAATAGTGGTGTGGAGCATGTGCAGCATGTATTATCCTAAAACTCTAGATGAAGGATATGAGTTAAACAGAATTTCATTTTGTCTAGCCTGAGCAGCTGCATGAGTGGTGATACTATCTAGTAACCATGGGTACACAAGAAGAGAGGTAAAATTGGAAGAGGAAATCAAAAATGTTTGTGCTAGCTTGCTTCTCAAACTGTATACATCAATCATCCATTACCCCTAGTCAAGTGTAGATTATGATTCAGTCAGGTCTGAAACTCAGCTTTTCTAAGCACTAAGTAGTGCTGATGCTAGGTAGTGCTGATGCTGCCTGTCAACAGGTCTGAGTACAAAGGTAGTTTAAAAAAAAAAAAAGAAGATTGCATTGGATGGGGAGGGAACAACTAATACAAAACAGGAGGCCGGACACCGGTGGCTCATGCCTGTAATCCTAGCTAATCAGAAAGCTGAGATCTGACAATTGAGATTCAAAGCCAGCCAGGACAGGAAAAGTCCATAAGACTCTTATCTCCAATAAACCACTAGAAAAACGGAAGTGGAGCTGTGGCTCAAGCGGTAGAGAGCTTGCCTTGAGCTGAAGAGCACAAGTCCCACGACTAAGAAAAAAGAAAGAATATACAGGAAATATGTAAAGGGACCAGCTTGGAACAAGTTCTCAAACTGTGATCAACAGACTCAAAGCTTAACCACCTGGAAATTGGATGAAAAAATAAAATCCTGGCACCCAAGATCATCTGAATTCAAAACTGGGGATAGGGGAAGAGGGAAGACCAGTGTGTTTCAACAAATCTACCAATTGATTCTGATACATACTAAAATTTCAGAACCTGAGATCTGGAGGAAGAGAACTTTACCCACTCAGTGTAGATGGATAGTGTGATAGGTGTGAAAGATGTTAATTCCTCACTTTCTCTATTTTTTGGGGGGTGTGGTTATTCATTTTATTCATTTATTTACCATTTATTTTATTGACTCTGATGACCCCTCTACCATTTATTACATTGTTTACATCCTATACCACAGTATCCAGATTT